TTTGGTCAAATTATTCCCTATAGAATGGACCAGCCTATTAATTTTAACAAATCCGTAGATCCAGCCCACGATTTGTTATATCTAAGACAATTATGAAAATTGAGGCAAATGTATAAGCAATTTTATGTCAAAATAATGGTATTTATATTGCAAAATTGGGTTTTGGAAAATTCTAGCAGAACGAGGTAAGGTTGCATTTGGTAATTGATTTTTTGGATTCATTGGTACACATGTCAAAAACGTATTTTTTTATTATAGTATTATATATTATAGTATATATATATATATATATATATATATATATATATATATATATGTACAAATTTCTTGTGTACTATACAACAGCAAAAAAATCGATTCTCAAATGCACTTTGCCAGCAAATTTTTATTTTTAGATATGCATATCACAATTCTTTTTCAGTGATTTTTATATTTTATTTTAGTGTATATTATAAAATTGCAGTTTATGCAAAATCTATTTATAAAAAACTGATTTACTTGCTTTTATACATATGCCTCGAACATGTAAAATGACATGACATGAAAGTGCTCAAACAATGAGTATGAAATCATGAGAGTCACATATATTTCTGAATGTTTGGAGTGAAAAATAATAAAAAAACTTCTGGATAAGATGATTAAAAGTAACTTATAATTTGTTAAAATAAATATCAAATTTTGCGCAAAGATTTTTATAAAAACTCTTACAAAAACTTGTATCACAACTTTAAAATGTTTACTATCACAAATTAAGGGCAAATTTTGTGATAACAAAGACGATAACATAGCGTTGTTATGGTTTCTTGGTACTAAAAACTGTGAAAATGCTATTTCCTGTGTAAAACACCTGCTCCCACAGCAAATAGATAGCATTTTCAAAACTTTTAGTACCAAGAAAGAAGATAATTTAGCGTTGCCATGATCGTCTATGTTACCACATAATTTGCCTCTAAATCTTAAGTAGTGAGACAAAAATTTGTCTGCTCACTGACTTATTAACAGTCATTTAAGCTGAAATTAGGTAAGAATCTTGGAATTCGAGATTCCCAGCAGTAAGTCTGTTAATTCTTGTATTATGCACCCTGAAAGTTGTCTCAAAACCTACACATGATAGGGTGTACGCAAGATATGTAGGTTTTGAGACAACTTTTAGGGTTCCAAAATACGAGTAATTACAGTCTTGCAGCTGGGAATATCGAATTTCGAGGTGAACTTGCTATAACGACTGGACTATAATAACAATATTTATTATGCCATTTACTTGAAACTTTAAACAAAATAAAATGAAAATCAAATTAGATAACAGTGGACCCCAATATGTCCCTGTGTCCCTTATAAATGGCATTCAGAAAAATATGTTCCCCATGTCTCATGATTAGAAGGTGCAACGATGACAAATACACCAAAAACAGCGATTAAAACACGAATTTTAAACATTTCAAAATATTTTTTTTCGGTTTTGGTCTGGTTTAGATTAATGGCATTTGACTGGGGGGTAGCCTGACTCGAAGTGTTCGCCAAATTTGGTGTCAAACTCGCTCTAAGTGCGCCCAGAGAACAGTTGATACTGCAAATATCGAAAAAATGGATTTTGTTTTAGCTTTGTAAACACTGTACAAATGTTTTTTTTAACATCGATAAAGAGGAAAAAGTTAATACTTTTCTTATATATATAAAACATCGAATTCTACTGATAAATGCAACAGTAAACTTCTACTTTTGTATCGTATATTGTTTTGTGATAGTCAATGTGTAGATTTATATATATATGATTCAATACATTAAGTGTGACACTAACACTAATTTTTTAGAATTTACGCTTTCTTTTGAAAATAAGAAAATACTAAAAAATGATAACATTCATAAGATTAAATAACTTATTATAAAATGCAATTATAATTTTAGTTAGTTTTGACTAAGCAGTACCATGTCTACATTTTCGCTCTTTTACTAAATACCGATCAACACAAATAGACCACTAAGTACAGGCAGCCCCCGTGGTAAAAAATCGACATTCAGAAAACTTTTTGGTAAAACCATTTATTTCAATCATATATTTCCATAAATGAATGAGAAAAATAAAACGCCGTCTAAAAAATTCATAAAAATAACTATTTAGATGATGATGTATGAAACATACAAAAGCTTGAGGTAAGAAGTTTGAAGATGAAGACTCTATTACCAATTTTTGCTGATTAATTTATTATTAAGGGGGCTACATGTCCATAGGAATGTATATGATTATATGTGGTAAACATATTTATTTGGATTGTGTTTTTTGATGTTACCAAATCGTTTTCTGAATGTGTCTATCTGTTGATTGTGTTCTGATGTTTAGTATCAATATTTTTTCGTAAATTTTGAAGTTTGGTTGTAACTAATTAAGTTACACATAACACAGACCAATTAGAGAATAAGTAGGAATTTGCTTTGATTTTAAGCATGATGAAGAAGATATGGATCAGAGAAATTTTACTCGCACAGGAAACATTCTGTTTGTTTGGTAGATGGTAAATATACTTAGAAAGAGGCCATCCACTTGCTCACCTCATATTTTTTTAGCATAAATTATTATTTTATAATATATTTTTTTAACATAAATATTTCTAAGTAACCACAATTTAAATTATCAGTTGAAGATATATTAAAGACATACTAACAAGTAAAATAAATTGGATCAATGTAATTCAAATGGACACCCAAATATGAACATAGACAAAACTTTGAAAAATGAAGAATGGATTTTAGCCAAATTTTTGGTTCATTTTGTGAGCGTAAATGGACAGCCTCATCAAATATACTTACAAAAACCATTGACAATAAAAATATACATCAATATCAAAAGATTTAAATCCATTGATCTATGTTACATGTGCAAGTTTTAAGGAAAATTTGTGCAGAAAGTAAAAAAGAGTGAATACATAGACAGTACAGCTGGACATCACACAAATGAATGATTACACAAGCTTAATGAATAGATGAACAACAATAATATTATTTTAATTAACAATTAATAAATATTAAAATACAATTAACACTGAATAAATGATACACATACTTCATAATTTGGCACTTAAACAGAAATATTTAAATCCTATTCATACGCGGTATTATTTATATTGAATCCATAATCATTGATCGGATGTGATTTTCAACATTTAATTAATAATTAATAATTATTTGATTGATATGTACAATACGTATTTACAACAATATCTTTATAGCAATTTAATTTCACAGGCAATTTACATTTATATATTTATAGAGTCATGCTTTAATCGATAATTACGTATATTAAAATAGACTTTGTCTCTTTTTTCTAATATTAAATATATTATTTTATCATACAGGTATCGTTTTTGCAAATTTCGGCGGATTTTTGTTTATCGTAATCTAGTTTTAAAACTATCATCGGTCTTGATCGATTTTTTATAAAAATAAGAGAGTGTTTAATATAAATTTCAATATTAATAATTCCCTAAATTTCAGCAGAGATAGATCTTATGCAATTTCTAATATCGATTTTGTATAATCATAGTTTGATACATTTTATAATATGAGTAAAATCTTTATTTAATGTTTGGGATTGTACTAGTGCATAAGAGATTTTATTTTATTCTGTAAGATTTACTTCACATAAAAATTTCAATAGTTAACTAAAGTAAAACTCGTTAAAAATTAAAACGCATTAGTTTTATCACATTATAGTCCACACAAAATTATAATATTTAATGTAATAGTACTCGTTTTTTGAAAGTAGAATAAAGAAAAGTATTGTTTTTGTCCTTTATGCATAAGAAAAAATTATATCAAAACTAATATAAATATTAGAAAAAGCAAAATTATTTCCATTTTTGAGCCAGGAATATACAAGAGATTTTGAATATTGGAGTCAATTTTATTAATTACAATGCGTTTTAATTATGTATCTGAATAAAGATAAATAAATAAAATATATAAATTAAAGTTAATAATTGTATAGACTTTTAATATTTACCCTTACCACTCGGTACTGATTTATAAAACAATCTGCCAGGAATGCGGTGCCACATTCTGACGAAAACATACCTGATGTAAATTTGTGGACATTAAAGAACGTCTATTTACGTCAGTATGTTGAAGTTCAAATCAATTTCCACAAGGCATACCAATCTGCCCATTTTACGGCTGAATTGGCTCCTTTTTCTAAGAATGAGCAAACTTTTCACCTCACGAGAGCCGCATTTAATTTTTGAAATTTTATGTCGCACTCTATAATATTTTACAAAACTTGATATGAACTTTAAAATATAAAAATTTTTAATTGAAAAAAAAAAACTATTTGTAAATTATTGCAACAGCAATAGATAATACATGATAGTTACATTATTGATAAAAAATATTTGATATAAATTAAGATATTTAAAGTTCCCCATAAAGCCCTCCGGCCGCGGTTTGCTCATCCTTGATCTTTTCTATTGTACATATGGCCTGACTTATGGCCTGACTGCACCACCAGCAACCATATGGTTTTTGACAGTATTTAGTGCAATTTTGGATGAAAACTGCTACCTTACATAGCCTTGCCATAAAATTAAGAATGATCAATCGTTTTAACTCACAGGCCTCATTTAATTTTTGTAATTTTATGGCGGGTCGCAATCTATAATAATTTTCAAAACTTGATATAAACCTCATAATATAAAAATATATAATGGGAAAGGAAAACTATTTGTGAATTAATGCAACAGCAATAGAATACATAATAATTACATCATTGATAAAATAGATTTGATGAAATAATCTCAGATATTTAAAGAGCCGCGTAAAGCCTTAATACGAACTGAGCCATTGTGTATACAAACTATCAAGTGACAGGTGAGCACAAGGACCTATGTTGACCCCTCAGAAAGATAGCCGAGTAGAAAGGGTTAATTTCAAGCGCAACAAAATCAATAATCCTAATCAGGTTTCGAAATAATAAACAAAGTAGTCTCAATAAACCCCTGTTTGAGCTCGGACTAGTCCGTAAACGTGATATTCAAAGACGGACACTTCCTAACCGCCTGCTGCATAATACTATTAGATCTCTCTCTGCTGTTATCTCGACTACTGGACGAGCCATTGAAATAGCCGCCACCGAAACCGATACCGGAACCGAGACCCGCCCCCGACCCTCCACCTCCGCTGGAACCGAAATTGAATTGTCTTACCACGCCTGAACCGATCTGCTGCAGCAGTCCGGTTGTGCTCCCCTGCTGACTGGACGCCGTCGACATGCAGCCAGAGGTGCGCCGGGAACGAATTGATTGCATTGACGAGGAGAGCAGGAACGGCACAGAACTCGAAGTGTTTGGCATTGAGCCGCCCTGGAAATGGATCGAGGGATTAATTGGTAAATTAGGAAAATGATTATTAAAATTGATTATAATGTCATGTAATAGTATCCTGATCTCAGATTGGCAACTAAGTAAGTGCAGATTTTTGTTAGAAAATCGACATATTTGTGAGGAAAAATATTATACCTCATTGTCTATTTTGTTCAATGACTTTTTGTCATCTTTTAACATCATTATCCCATTTTTAAAAAACTTCTGGTTTTCATTAGAATCAGATACAACTTGAGAATATTCTAAGAGTTAAATTTTTTACCATTTAAGAAGTTTGGTATTGATCGAAACACAAAGTAATCAAAAGGTAGATGGCCAAACCTATGTGGTGGATTAGTATGAGTATCAAGTTTTAATTCGTTAAACAAATTTTTTGATTTGTTTTATCATTTCACGCTGCTTTTTTCAACTGCATTATATAATTTTCTTAGTTGCTCAATGTAGGCACCATATTTGATCTTTCAGTCGGGTTTTAAGAGTACAAGTAGAATATTCCTTTTTACTGAATTTCAACTGGATGATCAGAGCGTTTTACATCTTTGAGTGGAAAGTCACCGGGACGAAATTTGGATAACAAATTGCCATTTTTTTAAGGCTTCGACTCCATAAACTGCTCATATTTTTGGTGTACTCAAGATACCTTGCATAAATATAAATAGCAAAATATGACGTCAACCGAAAACTACGCATCAAAAAGTGTTTTTTACTGATTGAGAGCTGAATTGACTACTATTCACTAACAAAACCTTAATTTCAATTGAAACCACCTAAGCTTGAAACCCAAACTTTCTTAGTTGCCAACCTAATATGATATTAATTTTCTAATCTGAAGCTTTCTCTCCAAAAAATATTTACATATGTAATATTTTATTTATTTCATAGTACGCATTGCTTATACCTTATGTATTAGAACTAAATAAATGAAAAATTAAATAAATTTTTGAAGATCAAAGGCTTTTAGCTCAGGAAAATAAAATTATAAATAATAATAGATATCCAGAAAATCTGATTAATTTATTTATATGCTAACAGAATCATGAGTAAAAATTATATAAACACTCTACATATTTCATTGAATTATATTAGTTACAGTCGTTTCGAGACTGTAATTTGTTTTATAGGCAGTTCATATTATAATCATAATCATGAAAAACCTTACTTGAAATTTAAGACTGTCAAAGTTTCTAAAGAAGGAGAATTTTGCTTTTCCGGAACACCGAAAACAAATTTTTGAGAGGAGAAGAGGAAAATAATTTCAGAAATGTATACATATTTAAAGATAAGTCCAAAATTGGTTGTAAATTTATATTCAGAGCAAAAATATGAACAACATTAAATTTTTCGATAGTAAGTATTTTGTTCTCATTAAAGTTTTTATTATTTCTAAGAATTTGTAACTTTATTATGATTATAATTAATGATATAAATTTGCATACCAAAAAATCAATTAAAAATTTCTGCAATTATAAATACGATTATGTATTTCATCAATAAAAGTAATACTTGCCATTAAAATTTTCGGAAATTATATTCTAATTATTATTTAAAAATTATTTTATTTCAACTTTAATCACTTTAAGCAACATTTATCATACAAAATACATTAAACAAAAATAAAATACAAAAAATCACATTGAAAATACTCACGATCATGCTCCGTGCAAGCTGAAAATGAGACAGATAAAACATTTAAAACATTGAAATGATTTTAACGTTTTATTTAACCTAAATAATTCTATTCAGTTGAAACAAATAAATATTTTCAACTTCAGTAAAAAATATGATTCTGAAAGTATGTAAATTCAGTAGGGCCTTAATAAATTTTATCTTACACATTTGATAAAAAAAAACAAATTTTATAATATACAAACGAATTATGATATGGTACATTTATATGATTTGTTTAATAGTTACTGATATGAAACAAGATGCAACATTATAACGTTTTGATAAAACAAGGGCAGCAAAAACACACAATTTATTATTTATTTTATGATAATGCAAATATTATTTTATCGGCCAATCACATTAAGCACCATTCGTAATAATAAAATTTTTATGGGGTGTTTTTTTGCATAAATTTATTATATCGTGAATGACAGTTGATGGATCATAATGAAATGACTGACAAAATGTATTCTGAAGCTTTTTGACGGTTTTATTAATTTAATTGAATTGATCAAATATGCCAGAGCATGATAAATAACAAGCAATATAATATTTAATTTAATAACCAAACAGGTGTTACAAAAATAAGGTATATATAGTGAGTTTTAAAATTCAAACAACGACTGATTTTGAGAGCTTTTTTAAAGCTTTTCAGCTGTAAATAATCCAAAGAGTCAATAAATAAACATAACTAAACAATTGATAATTATTCGTTAACGAGGTGATTTTTTATCATGATTATTTAATAAATTAGTTCTGCAATTAAACAAAAATAAATTATGCTTGCATGAAAATTATTGGCCTTACTAAATTCGTACCACAAGGTCGCACTTGTCTTAAATGTTAAAAAAAATATGTAGGCGATGAAATATCCTGCTTGATTTATGCAATAAACATATGTATAAAAAATATATATTCATATATATAAACAGCACAATTAAATTAAATAATCCATAACTTGATGAACACGACCATTCAAACATTGTTGAGACGGCACTGGACAGCACTGACAAAACCTGACGAATAGATTGAAAAAAATGGAAGACTTAAGGACCCATTGGAAACTGACCAAAAATGACTAATAATTAACTATAACTTATTTTTATAAATTTATTATAATTTATGTATTTTTTCCATTTGTGACTTTTTTTGGTTTTTGGGTATTTTCCAAAATGGATCCTTAAACAGACACCATAGGCGACTTACTACATAATTAGATGTTGCTGGTACAGATAAACTTGAACCGGAACCCAGTCTGGCAGCAAACTGTAAAATACGATATTGACTAACAATCTAAAAATAACTAATTATTAATAAAATGGTAAAGAATTATTCATAATTTTTCAACCACTAAATAACATCATTGCTATGTATGTACTTGTGTTAAAAAATATCAAGAAAATTTGATCAATGTCAACTAATGGAAGGGAGCAAGTAGTAGTTGGAGAAAAAAACAGTAGCAACAAAATATGTAATTAATTTTTAAAGTAAAACTTTAGGTTGCGACTAGGGTGTAAATCCGTACAAATGCAACGGAAGTGCGTTACGGCCGAGTCGAGTGCCAATGATTCGTCAATCGCTCTCGATGATATCATTTCGATATGGGTTGATTGTGATAAGTTGTCGTATCATGTGCGAGGCTTCTTTGTATGCATGACTTTGTATGTGCGTACGTCACCGAAAGCGTGAAGCATATTGTTTATTTTTCGGTGTTTCTTGTCGTTACATTTTAAAGTTAAATAGCAGTACAAAACTTGAGTTAATAAAACATATCTGGATCTGAAGAATATTTTATCCCGTCCCCCATAAAAAATTATAGTGCAAATAATAAAACAAATGAAAAATCTGTGCCGTGTAAAAAACGTAAGTTTATTGATTAGAAATTATTTCTATAATATTCGTAGGTTCTATTAATCTTTGACATTATTAAAATGAAAAATATTTTTTAGGCAAGACAAACACTTGCTGTACAAAGAATGAGATTATATTGTCAGTGAAAAAGTAAAAAAAATACAAGCAGTCAATGAATGTATGTTAATTTCAATTACATGAAGTTTTTCAAACACAATTACCTGATGAGTGAACGAAAACAATATTTGTTTAGGCATTGTTTAACATAATCCACTGTGTGAACGAATATTATAGAATTTATTAATCAGAAATTACTTCATTTTTCTAGTGAAGGTTCGTTTCTAAATGCTAATTACAATGACCAACCGATCATGTCCTATTTGAAGTTTGACTGTATTACATTATTGTTGTTAAATATTATACATATTTTAATGCTATTATAAATATATAATTTATATTTTATCATTATATAAATGTGTATAATGGTTGACAGTAATAAATGTGTGCATCACGAGTGTTACCATATTACTAATAAACATTATTCAAAATTGTTATATGATGTATTTATTTTTACTTAAAAGCCATCTTGTACAGTAGCAAATAAATTTTACTTCAATCGCGTGTGAACCTTACGCGCACTCTTTTTTAAAATTGATATTAATGAGTCATCATTAAATATTTACATGCAATATGATTGCAATCTACAAAACAAGTATAGATATCTATTTTTAAAATCAGTACTTTTTAGTTTAGAAGGTATCAGTTACCATAGTCGGTATAAATAACCAGATCTACTCCAATATTACAATTTCTATACAAAATGAAAAATATCACTTTCATCCTTCAAATTCTTCTTTTATTCAACACTGAAACTACCTTTTCATTCTCCTAATGGCTTTAATCTATCAACTGTCGCGTTTAAAGTAATATCCTTGGTCTAGAAATGGAAACTTTAAAAAGACAATCATGTTGCCAAGAATGAGAATTCCTCTTTATCGAATTAAACTTTACGAAAAGGATTAAAATGCAAATTATAAGATACTGGCAAAGAGAAGGACGAAGGAAACAATAAATTACAAAGCGTGGAAAATTTATATACCAAGAAGAGGATAATTGGTAATCTAATTTTGATAAAGAAATATTTTGCATCCAGGAGAATGGTAGAAGTTGACACTGGGGAATAGAATGGATAGTTTATGTTATTTGTATCTTTATTATTAGATTGATCCATTTTGATTTCCAAGAAACTTTATATTTGCCACAATATTTCTACTATCCAATTTGGGCAACTTTTAGAACCTAACCATTATGAGGGCATTATATAAAACCGTTAGTGCATTATTACAATTTAATTATAACCAAACAAGTGTTATGATTTTTTTTATCACCACTCACCGTAGGTGGACTAAGATTAACAGCAGACCCTCTTCTTTCCTGAGGTCCTATACTGCTGTGTCTCCTGATTGGCAAACCTCCTCCTGGTGTGCCTCCTGGTGAAGAGGCGCAAGAAGGTGCTATCCTGATTTTCGGTGTCATCAGAGTATTGTCACTCAAACGACGATTGGGAAAAGCGTTGGCCACTCGAAGAAAATTGCTATCAGGAGACGATGGTGAACCTCCAGTAAACCACCAACCGCCCAACATGCCGGAACCTGTTCGATGTATGCTGGCTACATTTTTGGGAAAGGGAAGCCGGGGAAAAGTGACATAGGAGAAGAAAAGAGAAAATTCGCCGTTTGATTATTTTTTGTTGTTAATTTTGATAATGGACAGACCAATGTGCAAGACGACATCCAGATTTCTGGTGCGGAAAACAAAAATTGGAATAAAGTTACAAAACATTGTGGAGACGAAAATAATTTTGATGTATGAAAAGTGATTACCACCAAATTCATAAAGCAATTTAAAAACAATAACAAAATTAATAAATCAATACGAATCTGTTCAAAATATGTTTGTTCATATAATTGTGTGGTTATATAGATTTTGTTGTTTTCGAAGTGCAAATGTAGATATTTAATGTGTAGTTACTAAACATAAAATACAACAAAAATGTAGAACATGTATCTAGAAAAATTATTTTGAATTATAATTGCTTCACAAAAAAAATCATAAAAGTAATTACTAGGCAAATTTTCAATACCAGTATGGAATCAACTAAAAATGTTAATGAATTAAAATATATTTTTAATTATTTTTATGTCATGTATGTTTGAGTCATTTTAAATATTATAATTTTAAAGTGTAAATGTGTATATTTGTAGATATTTAATATATAACAAATACAGAATAATTAACCAAAGAGTACAGAACATTATAAAACATTAACCAAATTCAAATGCAAATATACATAGAGATTTCCGAACTGAATAAAATATTTTAAAAAACATGTAATTTATGTAAATACACCAAAAATCGTTGTGCAACAAATGCGTATGACAAAAGTTAATAAAATAGTTGATCATTGTGCTCGAAAATAGCATATGTAATTAGTGCTTTCATAAAATTTACAATTAAAATTTTGATGATGATTTTACAGCCAATTACGGCGATTCGTGGAATATGGGGATGATCAATGTATATAAACATATATATATATATATATATATATACTTATAAATAGTGATTTTTAACGATCGGATGTTATATCAATAAATGAGAATTTTTGATTAAAATATAATTAAAATATCTACGATTTGCCTTATATCCGCGCTAAAAATATTGAATTTGATCAAAACTAAGTTTATAAAAATGCACCAACATAAAATAAGTTATAAAAATAGTAAGGAATTTTTTATATTTATTAGTTAATTGGTAAACTAAAATCTATCCTAACTCGGTATATCAAAGCTTCCAAAATTTTCAGCTTTAATATCTTATTTTATCCATTAATTGGTTACGAGAAAAAATTGTTTCTATTTTTTTAAAAATGTTTGGATTTTTTTTAAAAATCAGGTAAAAAATAAATACACGTGATATCTTTCTATACCCCTTCCGCCCCACGTGATATTTTGTGATTTTTTATCAAACCCCCTCCCCATAGAAACCTCCTGGAGGACGCCCCCTTATATCATAAAAAATATATTTTTAAACAAATAATAATTTGAAGTTGCATATTTATATATCTTATTTGCGACTAATATTTGATTTTCACGTAATATTTCGAAAGTTTCCAAAATGTATATAAATGCAATGCCAATTAATTACGATTATAAATCTGTCGTTAAGTGAATAAGTCAATTTTCTCTATTTTGTAAGGGTTGATTTCAAAGCTTCTATCCGTATAATATCGAGTATTTGAAATTAATGGTTCAAATTTTATATAATGTATCTAATTAATGTCTAATATATTTTGTCCAGTACTATATCAAGAGCGATAGTTAATTAAAAACTATTTTAAGAGCGACTTAATGTGAGAAACTGTTGCAAATAATTAATTGTTGAGCCTAGTAAAATTATTCACAAAAGTTACAAAAAAAGAGCAAAATCTATCCAGATTCATTTTAAAATATTTTGAGATTGCATTGAAGTTCATACCAGAATCCTATTTGAATTTTATCCATAACTTATTAGATTGTCATTGGATTCCTACCAGAATCAAAATTTGATTCACATCAGAAACTGGTGAGATTCTTATCAGATTCATATCAAAAATTAAATATATATAATAGTATAGGCATGACAGATATAATATATTGCATTTAAATAAACCATAAAATGAAAAATAACTATATATAAATCATATGGTCATAAAAACCATTTAAACAGATATAAAATAGTATGTAAAATTGTTCACACGGCCAAATCTATTTTTAAGACAATTTTACGTTTTATTCCAGCGAATTTCATACTATACTATTATGCGCACATAATAATATTTATTTTATTATATCAAATATATAAATGTATTCAAATATATAAATGGACTTAAGATAGTACATATTATTAAATTGGGTATTAAAGTCGAAACTATTGTGCATATTTTTATATCAGAACATTTTCTCTTCAAGTCATATTATTATTGATAGAACGCTCGATCGTTGGAACTTAGTTTTTACAAAAGTATGAATTATATATATATATATATATATATATATATATATATGTATCATTTAATATCACAGCAACAACAAAAAAAAATCTATTATCCATGGAACTTTTCCAAGAAATATATTTCCGATATAAATCGATCCGTCGTACTACATTTAAACATTCAGACTCTCAATTTAACATTTTCTCGATGGTTCTGTAGCTTTTGCGCATTCCATCTCGATAAAGTTGTAGTCGTTTCTAAGAAGTTTCTGTAGAACCATCCCTTATGGTGGAGTTAGGGGTTAATAAGAGAACAAGAGATATTCTCGGAACATACTGAATAAGTAGAGCTTAAAGCTTTTAACATTTCAAGGATTTAACGCAGCTTTTAATCTATGCGAAACAAAATTTAAATTTTACAATGTGTTCAATGGAAAGTGGAAAATTACACCCGAAGGGATTATGTTGGAAAGATAGAGGATATGTTTTTAATAATTGCCTTGTTTTTTATATAAATTTCATTGCAATTATAATTGTATGATAGTTGCTATTTAAGCATAACTGAAAATTTATGCTTTTTTCATTTTTAATTAATTTTTTTTACTTATAAATTGATATTATCTGGTAAAACAAATTTTCAATTATAATTTATTCAACTGACTTCAATTATAATCTTTTCGACAGAAACTTTAAAACAGTTTCAATTATACTTTCTTGGAAAAGTTACAAAATTTGTAAATAACCATAACTGAAAATTTATGCTTTTTTCATTCTTGGAAAAGTTACTTTTCATAGTAAATTGCATGGCAACATTAATATCAAAATCCAAGTAATAATTAATATAAATTGGTATAAACTGTCCACGTAAAAACACATTTTCACACACACATACACGCACACCCCCACCCCCACCGACACACACACACACATATATATATATATATATATATATATATATATATATATATTTGAATAGTCAATGAAGAAAAGTCAAAATGAAACTCGAAACGTGCACAAAATTTTGTTAAAATCATTTTAAATAAAACTTGTTTTTTCTTTTTATAAACTGATTAGATGCCAGTATAAATAATATGCAATTATACATTTTACCATCTGAATATTAATACACATATACAAATACACACATACCCACATATGTATATTTATTAAAATATCAAATTAAAGAATTTCTTTAAAAAACACTAAAAATATGAAACACAAAAGTGCATTGTATTGAAAGCATTGAAAAGCTCAAAAATTAAAAAAATTATGATAAAATTTGTGGCCTTGATTTTTACATTATTTTTCATATTATTTATGTTTGATTTTGTTACAAAATTTTGAAGTAAACAAATTTTACAACAATTCTGAAAATTAGCTGTAATTTTTTGCGATCACATTATTATTAGGTTGTCAAATATCTCCCTTCCGCTTTTTTGCTCTTGGTTTATAATACAAAAAGGCGGAAGGGAGATATTTGACAACCTTATATAAAAAATATTTTGTATCATATGAAGATATATGAGGTATCAGGTAAAAAAAGTTATTTTCAATTGTTTGAAAAATTAATATACACTTTATATAGTATGTGCAAAAATTTTAGTAAGGATGGTAAGAATTTAGTCAGATTCCTGTACAAAAAATAATACTTTTAACAATTTCATTATTTTCTTAATAAATACTTCTAACTATTTAAAGGTCACTTCATAAATTATTAGGTGTTCAATATTCGGATCAATATTAGTTGTTATAAAACGTTTCCTGCTCGAATCACCAAATTATACAACGATGCTTCAAAATTAATTTCAAATAAACATTATCATTATTCCTCAAAGCCACAAAATTTTCTTGGTTCTATTATTCACCTGCCGAGTTCTTCCTGGCCATGTCTTCGGCGCTGCTGGTCTTCCTCTGCTCGATTCGCAAATTGGGGATGTTAAAGGGCGGAACATGCATGTTGTCGGAACTGAATTGATGTCGAAGTGGTCTATGTCTTTCCGGAGAAGGCAAAGACAGGTTATCCAGCTTCAATTTGTTCCTTTGATTGCGGTCAATTAGGTCTAACATCTCTTGCAGAACCTGGTGGAAATTAAATTAAACATCGTAAACATGATGAACCGATAATGAAATCCTTTTTTTAAGAACCTGGTATATAGAGAATTATATAGTTTTACTTATTTCTCATTATGTGATTTGGACCTGTAAATATTTGCATATAATTAAAGAAAATGTATATGGCTGAGGTTGCTAAAAGTCTGTGTGTATGTAAAGACAAACTTTGACTTGACGTCACTAATCACAAAATATTAAAGAACATTCGATAAAAATAAGTATAGACACTCGTAGATTGTATCAGCATTAAATTCTTTTTTGTCAAAAATCTTGAACATATTTTGAAAATTCAAATACTGTATTAACTTGAAAAGATAAATAGTTTTTAGTAAAAATCAGCCTTGCCATTTCTTCGCTATTAACTGCACGATTTTTAAATATTTCAAAGAGCAGTTTTCTTTTTTCTGCCAGAGAATTTTATAATATTGACTCGACTTTTAACACAAATATTTTTAAATTTTTGTGTATAGGCTAGAGCGGGGCTTAAAGGTCCGCTGGTAGAAAGTCGATATTTATCTTTAGTACGCAAAATATAAATAAGGTTTCAAGTAAAAATGTTATTTAAAAGTGTGCAATATTTAAAAGTAGGCAAAGTATATTTTTAATGGCATTATTTTAAAATAAAAGGCAAAAACATAGGAACCAACTATCACCTTAATTCTTACAATATTAATATTATGAGATATTCGGGAAGGAATGTATCAATATTAATACCAAAGGGTTTTTTTCTTTTGTAGTTTTTTGACTTTGTGCTATTGTATTTAGTTTGTTACCTGAAAATAATTTTAAGTAAACGTTGCTTATTTGTTTTATAAGATGAATTGTTATTTTCAAGTTAGATTCAAAAATATAACCTCTATGATGGCTTACAAATGGGTGTGGTAAAAATGAAAGGGTGGCAAAAAAAGAGTGCTGTTTGTTCATATGTCTAAATTAATATATGTATATATATACATATATATATATATATATATGTGTGTGTGTGTATGCGATTTTTCCAATTTCTATTTCACAGAATTTTTTGTCATATCAATTTTATAATTTCGATTATATTAATTATACGTTGATTTTTTTCACAAAACTATGTTTAAAAATTGCGATTTTGCGATGGTCTAAGGTCTATCCAAGAACAAAATTATACAAACATTTTATAATTAGGATAATTTGTTACATGAACTCTTGTAAGATTTTCTACGTTATACTTGAAATCTCATTAGACCTCATTAAAATTTTAATGCATTCCATAACGTTGCTATGAGATAGATAATTAATTCGACTATATAAAACATACATGTAACTGCATTTCTTTCAACCATCATGTTTACTAATTTATTTTTAGCTTTGATGTTGCAGACATCATAAACAGGTTCAGATGTTTGAAAGTAACTTTATTAACCGGCGTCGGCACATAGATAATATAAATCTTAATTGCACATATTGCTTACACAAGAGTTTCTTCCAGCGAAACTTCGGCATTTAATGAGAAATTTTATACAAAATAGCAAACTTTCTGTCTTACCAGAGTTTAATATTATGTAGGGGTAGAGTTAATATATTTTTCATGGGCTGGAATATATGGCGAATCGGGGAAAAATGTAAATTTTTGTAAACAGAAGAGTTAAGTTAAGGGAGGAAAATATTGGTTCTGAAAGTTTATCGTAATTACGAAAGAATAATTATTTATTTAGGATTTTGTTTATCCGCGTCCGGAATAAAATATGAATCAAATTAGTGCAAAAAGAGTGCTGTTTGTTCATATTTATAACCACTCAGAATTCATTTGTTATATATATATATATATATATATATATATATATATATATATAGAGCTGAAAATTTTTCTAGACTAAAATACCCTGTCAAAATCTTCAAAATGATTAATTTCTCATTTAAATAATATTTACGTTTTGGGGTATAAAACATCTGGTTCTTCTAAAATTGGTTTGAATAAAGTTTATATATTTCACACATTTTTATATTCAAACATTGAAGGAATTCACTTTTAGAATAATATAGTCAAATTAAAAGTAAACGAGATTTTTTTCAATTTTTTTAATAACTAAAATTTTTTTAATTCAAGTTTATTTTATTTATTAATATAAAATTAATATTAATTCAGTATATAATTTTTTGGGTTGGTTTTAATTGTTCTTGAAGAAGTTCAATATTTCCCGATATGTTTTTATGGCAAAATGTGGCTCGAAGTTCAGAAAAAGAAAAAAATTAAATATTTTTTTTCTAATTTTGGCTTGAAATATCTTAATGATCCTAAAAAATCATTAGTATTTAAGTTTCGAAGCAATCAATAATCATCTTCCAGTACTGCAAATTAGTTATTTAACTAAAAATATTGAGTAAAACAAAAATATATCCTTTAATATATTTTCCACACAATGGCACGTTATTCAAAACAAAAAACGACTATAAATATATGGAGAAACATAAAAAATTAAATTAATAGTTATATAACATATAATAAATATTTATAAAAGTAATAAATAATGCTTGATAAGTAATTTCTAGTAATTAAGTTTATTTGTTTATTTAAAACATAAAGTAAAATTAAAAATTATTTTATTTTATTTATTTTTATATAATGTAAACGTATAGTCAATTTTTTTCTGTTGTGCGTTTGCTATTAAAAATTTGTTTAATTTACTTTTAAATTTTTAATTTTGATTTGTAATCTAGATAATATTATATATTTATACCAAATTTAATCACTATTTGATCTAAATATAATTTTTTAGTTATAAAGTTAATGTTTATGAAAATAATAATTAAGTTCTGAGTTTTAATTTCCAGTAATAACCATAGTAGTTTAGATAAAATATAAAGTAAATATAAAAAGTATTCTAATTAATATATTTTTCATATAATGTAAATGTAAGGACATTTTATGAAGGAAGAACTTGATTATGAAAATTCTTTTCTGTATTTGATATTAAAATCCGTTTTATTTGCTTTTGATTTGAATTACTAATCTATATAATTTAGATATTATTTGTTATCTATGCCAAATTCAATTCCTATTGATCAAAATTAGTTTATAGTTATAAAATTAAAGTTCATAAAGGCGTTATTTAAGTTCTGATAATTAATTTTTAGTAATAAAGATTAGTAGTTTTGATAAAATATAAAGTAAAACTAAAAAGTATTCTACTTGATATATTTTTCCACCCATGTAAGTGTACGGTCAAATATTAAATTTGTAGAAAATTATTTATGAAAAATTTCATAATCAAATTTCTGTGGTATCTTTATTAATAAAAACTGTTTCATCCGATTTTGATGATAATTATCCTTTATATATACTATTATATATTCATGCGAAATTAATTATTTTTGGTAAAAATATAGTTTTAATACATGTTATAAGCAATGTTTGAGTGCAAAGCGAACATATATCAAAAGCTACTATTAAATTCGCGAATTAGTACGAAACGACTTCGTCCGTCTTCGGCACGGCCTATCATAGCATCCCTTTTGCACAATTGCTGAAGAACTGTCAAAAATTAGTTCACAGCTGAAGGCACCACCTGCACTTGAACTAATAACAATGCAATTGAAAATGATATCTGATCTAGTATTGCAAAAATTCGGGTGTCTTCGTTTTTTCATTAACAAATCGACAGTGATCGGGACAAGTCCTTTACGCTGCAACCACGGAAGGAACAACACCTCTGTCTAGAGGTGCCGTCGGCCGGACAGATAATTTATTTTAATCGTGTTTAATCATGATGTTAATTTGTTTAATCGTGTTTAATCATGATGTCAATTTGTTCTATCATGTACAAGTGCTTGTGTTAATGAACTATAATTAAATATTTTGTGTAGTTTTGTGATATGTGTAGTGATTCTACGAACATCGTGGACATGATGCAATCGCCCTGATGCAAGTAAGTCACCTCGTGGACAATAATCCTCATACATCGGCTTTAATAATAATGGAATAGCAATTTATTTAACGTCAATTATTGTTAATTATGTGTATTCATCATAATCCAGTAATATTTTTTTGAAAAAATAAAATATAGTCTATTAATTTAACTAGTAACTACTGAAGGTATCCTAAACAAGAGTGTTTCGTGATCGGGAATATTTAGCATCAGCTATTTGTTTATTATTGGTTAGTTATAACTTCATCTTAAATGCATATTTTTGACACTCGGTTTACAGGAGTTTTGTATACATTTATCTGTATGGAATCTCGTCAAATTAATACATTGCGTATTGTCCTCAAAGACTTTTATTAATTTATACTCAGTTTGAGTTGAACAGTTTTAGGCTTTTAATAAAAATAAATAGTAAAAATAGTTGGATACGAAAAAATGAACAAACATATGGATACTACACGGTAATTATATTTTTTTTACTTAATATTTGTATGTATTTGACGCATTTTTCGCATGCATATAAAAATTACAGCTCCTATTTTTATTACACGTTTTGGCAATTCTTTTTAGAAATCCTGATGTAAACGTTTACTGATCTGAAACTTCGAGTTTCGACTTGCGCGATTATCATTTTTGTTAGCAATTTTATTGTATACAAAACGACATAATACAATCAAGTTTAGATTCCTCGTTGTATTTACTATTTGAAGGCATCATATTACGAATTTAGCGAATATATTATCAATTTTAGGTTATCAGCTACCCCTTGGCGAGTTCATGTAGTGAGAGGTATATCACATATGAATTTTAATATTCATAAAGTATGCCAAAATTATAAATGTGTATATATATATATATATATATATATATATATATATTTCTTGGTTAAATTAAGAATTTGCGTCACAAATACGTTAGGATTAGTGCTGTGGTTTTTTCGGTATTTCATTTCATATTTCGAGTTCATACAAATTGACGAGCTCCGTAAATCTAGTGTTAAACCATAATTTTTATGTACGAGTGATATAATTGTGATATGTTTTTATTATATATCCATCACGAAATATATATTAAATCAATAATTTACAATATTTCTGATTAATTTTATATTTAATTTTATTTCAGGTTTACCTCATTTTCATGTAAAGACTGTATCTTTATCGCAGTATCACAATCGAGTGTGTTTCGGTGCGAATTTTTGCAGTTTTTAGTAAATCCGCTTTTATAGTGCTTTTTTGGTATCTGTTATGTGTTTATAATGCATAATTTCTTAAGTGCTTTTGTGGAGTGAAGTTCAGTGTAAATTAATGAATTCATATTTTTTTCTTGAAAATAAGTGATTTTCCTGCTAATCGTGTGCTGAGCTCTTCCGTGCTGTGACCAGGATTTCTTATAAAGGCCTTCTTCTGGGAATCGAGAGGTAAATAAATATGATACTACTAATCATAATACTTCAAACTTGTTTCTAATTTTGAATGAATATCTTATATTGTATTTTAAATATATTGTTTCTGTTCTAGACAACAAACTGGTAATCTCGATGTCCCAGAAGAATCGGTGCTTGTTCGCGTAGGGTGAGTGCTTTAAATTTTTTTAAATTCAATGGTATGATCACATGATACAATCAATTTCACATATTGCAATAATTTATAATTTTTATATCATTTTTTAAAAATATTTTACGAAATTTTTAATCAATCCAATTTTAAAATTTTAAAATAATAAATCAGTAATTTTTTTGTGTACGACATATTTTGTGAAATTGATTCAATGAGCTTGTATGCGAATGTAATTTAATTTTTTGCACAGTATAATTTTCACTTTTGAACATAAAATAGTACATAAAATTTGAATTTTGATTCTGTAAATGAAGTTTTTAATGTTGATCAGTAATTACTGTCGCATACGACTCATTAAAGATACCACTGATAAATTATCCAATTATTTAATAACGATGCACAAATTTTATAAAATTTTGATTGAATAATAATCTTCATGCTGCAAGTCCTAAACAGTTATATTTTTATATAAAAATATAAATTTATTCTAAATTACAATAAATATCTCGTAGTGTGCAAAGTTATCTAATAATTGTTATAATGTTGTCGGTGTGATTTTGTCCTGTATGTAGATTTGCAACCAACATTAATTTGGTAGATAGTCCTACTATTCTGAACAATTCGTAAAAATTCATCCGAATTTAGTTAGGTACCGAATCGTATAGGGATTGTAAGGGGTTCAGGGATTTGTGGTTGTCCTGGTTGCAAATTGTTATTAAAATTTGTATATTTATTGTGGACAAAATCGTGATCATACCATTTCTCATGCCATTTCAATTAACCCATGTATTTCTTCTAGCAGTGTTAAATTTAAAAAAGTGTTTATTAAAACTAAAGTGTGTAAATATCGCGTAAATCATAAGTGTGTTTTTTAAATATTTCTAATGTAATTGCGCGTAAATCAAAGTGAAATTATATGCTGAGCTATTTGGTAAGAAATGCTTTCCTTAGAAAAATTTGAGGTGAGAACAAGAATAAATTATTGAATGTCTAGTTTTGTTTATTTTATCGATGATCATATAAACATTTTGAACACAACATAAATTTTATTTCAAATTAATATTTTTGTTCTGCAGTACTCTAATGAATTTATTTTCATTATACTAAATATAAATGTATATAAATTTCAGTATATTTTGTAAAAACTTCTTTGGCTACATATATATTTTTTTTCATTTGCAGGTCGAACTACCTACCAGGTTCAGGTTATAGCGAAAAATTGGGTATTTGAAAGGTTAGAGATTAATTTTCATTTGACTGTATAATTATTTTTATTACAATTTTTATGTTTGTGTATCCCACCAACGTACGAGCATATTTATTCATTTTTCCTATAAATATAACCGCGCATATATCTATAATTATATATTTATTTTGTATACATATTAGGCTGCTCCTTAATATGGAAATTTTAGAATTTCTTTGCTTCCAAGGGCTCAAACGCTTCAAAATTAATGTAAAAAAATCCTCCAAAAATTTTAGCCATCAATATTAAAAGTTAGATAGTCCGCAATTCAATTTAAAATTTCGTACACTTATTATTAACATACATCATTAAGTAAACTTTTGTGCCATCTGTGATAGCATTTGTTAACTCGAATATTATTATATTTATTTATAAAACTTATTTATAAAACACCTAACTTCCACGTGGTCTGTTTAACAAAATATTTATTCATTATGTCATCAAAATAAATTTTGCAGCAAAATATTTATTTAATTGATGATTTTGGCACTCAAATTATCAGTAATAATTTGTCATCAAAATTACAAGTCGGCTATCACAGATGGCGCATAAATTTACTTAATGATATATGTTTAAAAAAATATACGAAACTTTAATTGAATTGCGGACTACATAAATTTTAATATTAAGAGCTAAAACTTAAAAAAAAATTTTTTTTGATAATTTGGAAGCATTTTTGAGCCCTTGGGACCAAAGAAATTCAAAAATGTTCATAATAAGGACTACCCTAATATATATACTGGCACACCCGGCCACCAGATTGAACTTTGAATCTGAAGGGCAATCAACAGTTACAAATTCTGTTGATCAAAAATTTCCTTAAAATTTATTTATATATATATATATATATATATATATATAAATATATATATATATATATATATATTATGAATAAATTATTCTATTTTGATAAATTTATAAATACCTCTAATAAAATAGTGAATTGTTCCAAATTCAATTGCGGATTTACGGTTTGTGGCAGCAATGATGGCATGACACGTGTTGCCATCAAATTAACCGAAAGTCCATACTTTTTGTCACTCAACATAATGCGATAAATATCTGCAAAATAAAAGTATCAATTGTTACAATTTATTTACTAAAATTTTATAAAAATTTTCACCATCAACCCTCTATAGCGCCTCGTGCGCCCCAATAACATTGAACGATATTTTTAGTGCAAAAGCAATAAATAATTTTATATCGTACATAAAATATTTTCTCATATAGTATTCTTAAAACTATGAATTTTATTTTATGTTACTTATAAGATGAAACATGAGGTAAATCGAGTGTGGAATATCTGTACAAAGATCAATATAATGTATCTGCTTGATGAATTTTAAGTTCAAATATTTGAAAGATTGATTCAGTTTCTATGATTTAGTTTAGATAGTTTGATTTAGTTCAAATATTTGAAATGTTACTTTCAAATTAAATTTAATATTGATATAATTTTACAAGGTGTGGAAAATGTGTTTATAGCTAATTTCGTATTTACAATTTAATATATGCAAACAAGTTTCACAAAGTTTCTAGTTTAAGTTGGTGTTTTTGTTTTCATAGAAATTCAAAACTTGTTATTTATTAAATTTAATAATTTTATCAATTATATTTATGAATTTCACCAAAAGTGGATATTTATTGGAAATTTCCATCTGAATTTATTTTTCGCTTATAGTTCATTATTTTTAGAAACTGTAGAGGGTGAATGAATATTCTATATCATATAATGGGATATTGATATTGTTGGAATTTTGCAAGTTCAAAGTTAAAGTCTATTTATAGATCAAAGCATATATATATATATATATATATATATATATATATATATATATATATATATTTGAGTAGGTTTGTGTAACTATTATTGATTTTGTGAAATACGATATATAGGGAATAGTTGTCAAACGTTTTGCTATTTGGATGTAAGATCCAAAACTTTAGTAAATATGTGTTATATAGTTCAAATTATTATGAAAAAATATTCTAAAAAAATTATGCAATTATTCTGATAGTGATAAAAATTATTTCTTGCTTGAAAATAGGTTTCCAATAGTTTTTCGAAACGTTGAAAATGTTATCATTTTTGAAATAGTCATTTTAAGTGAGTTTTAAAGTTTTATACTTTCATTTGAAATGCGGAAAAAATCTTATTTTATTTAATTAACGCGTATTTTATTTAATTAACGCGTATTTTATTCAATCATATATATACATTTTGTTAATTTCATATGCAAATGCTAAATATTGATATTTTTATTAAAATCATTGTTGCAACTAGTTTTTTAAAGGTGGATCTGTACCAAAAGTTAGTATTTTATCAAATTAATTTTTTATTCAAATAAAAATTCAAAACTTTAAATACATTCAGAATCAATAATTTTAAGAGTGAGCACTGTATTATGAAAAATATTTTAAAAAATATTACACCCTATATACGGTACGATTTATTTTATAATTAACATGAAAAAAAAACATGAATTTGAGAATATTATATATATATATTTTTTTTTTAATTTCAATAATTATTACAACTGCTAATTTATTAACATCAAGTAATATTGATAAATAATAATATAAATTTAAATAAATAAAAGAGCAAAGGATAAAATTTACATAAAAATAATATCCGTAATATGATAGAGAATATTATATGAGAAATAATATCATGTGCTATTTAATATTATTTATTGCTAAAGTTTAGTTACCAAAAATAGATTTGAGTAAAATGCTAAATTTTAAGTATAACTTAAGAATTTATAAAACTAATATTTGGATTTCAAACCAATTGGGTACTTGTGCATGTAAAAAAATAAATGTCTTAAATTAATCCAAAATACTGGTAAATCCTAATACGCAGTCAGACTGACATACAATTTTGAAGCTCGCTTATTACGACATAATTTTTCACAGAGCTTGCAATACTATTTATAGATAATGTTAAGTTTATTTATTGCTAAATTATCAAAAAAAATTTGAATTTGAACAGTAAACAATTCTAAATGCAACTCTGCGATTTTTTCGATGAGAGCAGATCCCTATATATTAATCTTTCACAGTCGCTTACAACTTGGATGATTACGACATATTTCTTTTTGCTTACATAGAGCATTTATCCTAATACAATTTTTTTTTTATATGTCAGAATAACTTTTTATATACTACTATGTTGATTTCACATATTTTCACTAGCAGTCATTATAAATCACAAATAATGATCTATATACAATTTCTACTCCAATCTATAAGCCAATCATTACATTTACACAATATTGCAATTTTTTTTCAATATTACAATTCATGCTAATTAATTTTCACGCAATACCAGGTCGTCACTAAATTTCTATATTAGATTTTTCAGTCTATTAAGGACCTATATAAATAATTATCAATATATCATCTTCTACTCACTGACAACCCTCAGTGTGACCTCAGGGTCCTGTAGTTTGACCTCCCAGAGCATGGGTAGCACGTCGTCGATGATTTGAGATTTTTCCAATCTGTCCAGAGTCCTCTCAATGCATTGCAGCACATTTGCTACGATCTTGACATCCGTAGCGTTTTTCTCGTAGACGGCTCGAGTCCTTGGCAGGACCATCCGACGTATTGAAGTGTCGTCCAAGTATTCATACACGTTTGTCACCGCCAACAGGGCCGCACTCTGAAAAAAAAGATAATAGATCGATGTATAATTGATAATTCATTTTTTTTTAAACTGCATACTGAAATTTTCCGAAAGAGAAGCTAATGTGCGTGCGAGTTATGAATTTTTTAATTTTTATTGGTGATTCCTCAATAAACATGCGTTAGTTTTATACCAATTATGTGTAATTTATCAATGAACAGTATTATTCAGTAAATTATAATTATTAAAAACTGATTTTCAATTTATAGGTGTAATAAAGATTATTGTAACATGGTTTTCATTGTATTGTAATACATAATAGGAAGTTAAGGATCATCTTGACGGTATTTAATTTTTTTGAGATACATCAGTAATAACGATATGTAAGAATATATTCTGTGCTATATTATATACAATATTAATAACTATATATTATTCTATACAATCTAAAAAAATGAAATTGCAAAGTTAACTTATTAAATGTATATGACTAATGTTGATTAATATGACTTATTTATATTACATAGAAAAATATTCGAAATTTAAACCATAGAGTTCAAATTAATTTTACTAACGACTAATTTTATTACAAAGATAAAGTTAAATTTGTATTATAAGAAAGAAGTTGTAGTAGAGATAATTGTAATGTGACTAAAAAACATAATTCAAATAATTATAAATATAATAAAAATAATTATAAATAGAATAAAATAATTTACATTAAGAAATTAAGGATTATTTATTGGTATTTTGCATTCATGACATATAACATTAGTCATGATGATATGCTGATTTTTAATTAATTTTTAAGTGTCTTATATATATTTATATACACTTACTCTTCCAATATCTTTTTTTTTAATTTATAATATATACAAAAAATAATCGATTTTTTGAAAAACAAATTAAGCTACTGTTTGTCTCACTTAAGATAAATTGCGTTAATAAAAGTTAGAATTAAAATAAAAGTAAGAAGCGATTAATGTTAAAAATATATAAATTTAATTTTTATTTAATATCATGTTGTAACAAGATTTATAGATTTATAGATGGAAATATAAGAAAATTTATTATTAGGAAATTACGGATATTGTTATTAGTATTTTACTTCTTTGATATATATCAAATTTAATTCAATTTAATTCATTTCTTTGTTTTCCTTTAATTTTTATTAATTATTTATATAGGTTTACCGCCTGATCTTTTTTTCTCAAATTTGTAATAAATAAAAAAAAATCATTATTTGAACGTTAAATTAAGCTACTAGTCTCACCTAATATAAGTGACTAAAGTAAGACTTGACCAATTTTAATTTTTTATTTAATATAAAATTGTAACACGATATTGTAACAAAATTTTGGAAATACAAGGGAATTTTTTATTATAGGTTTTCTTATTTGTAATTTACCTTTTTGATATATTACCTAGAAAATGACGATTTGCTGAAATTTATTTTTAATTATTATGCATTTGTATTTGACAGGTACTCCTACCTTTCTGATATCTCTTTTTTCTTCAATATGTAATAAATAAAAAAATATCGTTAATTGAATATTAAAATAAGCTACTAGTCTCACTTTTTTTAATACACTGATAAAATTTAATTTTTTATTTAATTCAAAGTTGTAACACGACAATTGTAACAAGCTTTTGGAAATATAAGGAAATTTATTATTAGGAAATAATGGATATTCTTATTGGAATTTCACCTTTCAGATATATCACATAGGTAATGACAATTTGCTGATATTTGATCCATTCAATTTCTATTATACATTATATATTTTTTATATATTCTATTATACATCTATTTTTTACTATAAATTTTTATTATACATTTATATAGGTTTACCTTTCTGATATCTGGATAAAATAGATAAAAAAAATTATCGTTAATTGAATGTTAAAATTGTAACACGATAATTGTAACAAGATTTTGGAAATACAAAAAAATATTTCATAAGGAAATTATGGGTTTTCTCATTTGTATTTTAACTTTTTGATATATCACATGGGTTCATTACAGATCTGCTGAAATTTATAAATTCAGTTTATTTTATTGTTTTTCTTAATAATTATTATTCATTTGTATAGGTATACCTTTCTCATAACTGATTTTTCTCAAATTCATGATATAAAAAAATTATACGATATTTCAACAATACGTTAAGCTATTATTCTCACTTTATATAACTTACCAAATTAAATCTCGACTAATTTTAAAACACTAATAAAATAGTAATCGTATTAATCGATAATCAAATTTAATACTTTATAACGTGTTTTATAATTTTCCATAAATAATGAGCATTATTATCAATGAAATTTGTTTATATGTATCGTTTCAAACATCGAAATACATGTTTTATTTTTATATAGTTTATATTTTTTTATTTACAGTACAAGCTAGAAAAATATTTCCTGTGTAAAAAAAATTATAACAGTGTATAACAAATTCAAAATTTGATATACAATTAGTTTCAATAAAATAAACCAATTCTAATTTTCTAAATATATTATTTATTTTAGCTTGGTTTTAAAATTTAAATGTAACGCATATTTGATTTCTATAGCTTCTTTTATTGACCTTCTTATATATGGTTTTATAGAAATATTTATTAAAAAAATATTTTTCAACATTCAAATTATATTTTCTAATCTAATTTAACTTTGTTCTTAATTTCTTAGAACTCAGTTTACTTATAAGTTATATTAATGAAAGTTTGTTTGCGAAGTAAAAAGTTTTATAGATTCATATTGTACCTGTACTCGTTATTTAATGTTTGATCATACTTATACGTTAATTAACTAAATAAAATTTATAATAATTAACGAGATCTCTTTTTTAACGATTTTATCGCACATTGTATATAATACAATTTGCTTTATCGTACATTTTTTAAATACAATTTTTCCATGCGCTTCACGAGATAACATAAAACAACGTTAGAAAATAATGATATACAATCCTAAAATAAATTTAATTACAAGATCTAAGAAATGTTATTTATCGTGAGCTTCAGTATATCATTATATATTTTTTTTTGCCAAACTCAAAGTGAATGTGGAAACTCAATAACTTGTGCGAGCTTCTAGACGCTCCTTATAAGAACATAATTACATCACAGGCGAAAGCGTAGGGACTGCTCGAGTATTTCTGTAGAAAGAAATTCTTTCAATTTATACACAACGGAGATTGGATATGTTTTTTATATGTACTTTATAATGTTTACATCGTCGAAAAATAATTAAAAACGTACATTGACATAGACTAAGTAAAACAGATAACTAGTATATAGGTCATGAAATTGGGGAAAATAATGCACTTTTAACTTCCCCTAGGGCAATTTGGAGTAATGGGCCAAAAATCGAAAATAATTTATTTGCATATCTTCACGTTTTAGAGGTTTCTGAACATTTTGGCATACCTAAGAAAAATTGATGTGTGCGTGTGTGTGTATGTTTGTGTGTTTGTGTATTTTTATGTGTGCATGTGCGGATACTAATTTTTGTAGATGACTTCGGGAACACAAGCATCCGTTTTGAATGATTCAAAAAACTTACTGCTTGTGTTAAAAAAGAAATTTAAATTATTTTTCCAAAAATTTTTTTTGTGTATAACGAAAAAAAATCAGATTTTATATTTTTATTCTGGCTAAAGTTCTAAAGCTCACTTATATACTTTAAACAATTGTAACTTTGTATTACAGTTTATATAATTCTTATAAATATTAGTCAATTTACAGTATTTATATTAATCTAATTTATTTAAAAACATTTAATATTCCAGTTCTAGCAATTTGCCTTAAGGTACGACACACCACTAGTTAAGTATAAAAACAATTTTCTGAAAATTTAAATTTTGTTGAAGTTTTCCATTTGTATCTTAGTATTCATTTATTTATGATACTCATTAATTCATGAGAAAACAATGTTATCATATTAAAACACTGTTAGAATAAAATATTTTCCATTTCCACAAATCATCCAATTTTTAATAATCAGTTGTTGATCTTCAGGCCTAAACGTTTCTTCTCAAAAATTTGTAATTTTTAATGAACATGTTTTTTTTTGCATATTAAAAAATTTAAATCTTTCATTGCAAATAGAGTGATGAAAAAATCTTATTGATGTCAAGTATCTGCAAAATCAAAAAGACCTAAAGATCAAATGATCTTTAGGATTAGTATTATTTAGCAACTCCTCAATATTTTATTTGATGAATCGTGGTTAGCTTTAGCTTATTATTTAATTTTGGAATTTAATTTGTTTAAGTCATTTAATTTACTAAATCGTATTACATATAAGTCTCTGCGTTATTTGATCAGAATTTTCATTAAATGAACCTTCTCATGAGCATCTTATTCATACTTTATTAATGTTGGTGGTAATAGTGATTCAATTTTGCTTGGAAATTGGAATTTTTGGAATTCAATTATGAAGATTTGTTAACTGAAAAATCGTAAAGGCAAGTCTCTGATAAATTTTATCAGAATTTTGTCTAAAATATCCTTCACATATTAGCATTTCTCAAGAACTTCTTCATAATATTTAATTATGGATCCTAATATGCTTTTACTTATTATTTATTTCGTTGACAAATTTGAATGGTTAGAATTAAAATTTTGGTGTCTCAAAATAATTCAAAAAATAAAATTAAAGACAAGTGACAAGAGATTTGTTTCGATTTTTGATCAGAAGAACCAATTCATTAGTAATGCTCCAAAATGTATTAATAATTATGAATATATTAGTTATGATCCTAATTTGCTAATATTCATTTCTACAACAAATTAGATTTGTGCTAATTAAAATATTAAAGTTCAAATTGTTTATTAAGTTGTTTCATTAAAAAATGGCATTAAAAGCAGTTGTCTGCAAAATTTTGATAAAAAAACCTATTCTCAAAATTGGATATTTGACCATTGCTCAAAAATTCCTTAATGGTTTCATCATGGTTTACTTCAGCGTATTATAAGCATTATTTATTTTGTAAAAAAAATAATTATTAATAAAAATTAAATAATTAAATTAATATAGAATTGGTTAGATATAAATTCATTGTTCAAATACTAAAAAACATGACAAATCTTTCATAGGCGATTAAAAATAAAACTCGGTGGGCATAATTACAGAAAAAAATTTTTCTTCTTCAAAACTTTTCTTATTACGAAGGTGTGATATATTTTTATTAAAACGCACTTCAACACCTAATTTTATTACTCATTTGTACAAAATCTTAACTTTTTCTAAAACAATTTTCCGTATACTTTAAAAGATGTAAAAAAATCATTCTGTCAAGTGTAAATAGCTCTTCGCAAGAATGGAAAAAATCTGGAAAACTTTTTCAGGATTTTCCTTGTCGTTATCTGAGTATTATTTTTCGCTTATCATCACGCGCCAGAAGTTTAAATTTCATATCAAAGAAGCTCCTGTTTTGTTATTTTGTTTTCTTTTTTCTATATAATATTTTTTATTTTGTGCTCTTGTTATTTATCCTTTGTAAAGTTCTCTTTATAAATATATCTCTTCCATTTTGTTTCAATCTCAGTTCTAGCTTCTATTTTAAGTAAAACAATATGAACGTCTAGTAGATAAAAGTTCGCCGAATTTTTGAAACAGCTGGACCTGTCTTTGTCAAAAACTAGGCATCACTTCAATAGGAATCGAATTTTTTTGTTGAATCATTCAAATCGGTTGATCCGTGCTTTCATAATCGTCGACAAAAATTTGTATACGCACAAACATACACTGACCCTTCGAAAAGTTAATAATGCATATATATATATATATATATATATATATATATATATATATATATATATATATATATTGGATATCAACTGAATATTACTTCCTAACGTCTCAGACGATTTCAATTCTGTCCTTCGAAATCGATAAACATTCTGAAGAATTATTAATAAGCTTATGCTCGTCGGAGTCTTTACACAATATTTAATATTCTTTCATAATATAATCCTCATAACACTTAAGGAACTTTTCAAGGTGCTTAACAAAAGACTTCATAAAAGTTTTTACTTGGAAGAGATATGCAAAGACTTTTTTATATAGGAAAAGGCATTTGGCGAAGGTCATTATAAAAGTCATTTGCATGTATATAATAATAATAATTAATACATTATTTGCCATTTTTAGCTCACTATTGAAATGATAGATTGCAAAATATATACATGCATAATTCCCATATATAAAAGAGACGGTTGCAACACATTTTAAACTTTAAACATACTTTTTTTTAAACTTTGTCAGCCTAATAATTTTGTCACTTAAGTTTTGGAATGATTTAGTTTATTTCCAAAAAATGTGTAAAATTATATTTTTTGAATCATTACTGCTCTAATATTTTTCAGTGTTACATTCGAATAAATTTTCAAGCAAATTAGTTTGGTACTAAAATTTACTAATTCAAATGGTTTGTTGTAAGCAAAAAAAACGCAATTAGCTATGCTATAAAACCAAATTTATTAAATAGTGATTTCGATTTTTGGTAAGATTATTACTTCAAATTTTTTGAAGTATACAATTTCAATTTGTATTGGATGTTTTCACAAAGTTTTTTTAATTTTGACTAAAATTAGTTAATAAATTTTCTCACTCAAGTGCTCATAAGTTTGCAATTAGTTTTAATAAAATTTTGTACAAAAATTTAGAATAATGAATTATTTCTAGTATAAAAGTCTATGTATATGTTGTTGCACATAATTATTTACCATGATTGATTTCAGAATGTTATTGTTTGTTTGTGAAATTAAATTTTGTAATTTTTATATTACTAATAAAAGATTTTATTTTTACCAATATGGGTCGCATGCTCCCTGTCTAGTGCTCATTATCGGTTATAAATTATTTATCGTATCACACATAAACGGAGTCAATGTTTGATGGTTATTTGCAAACATAATTGTATTTTAATACAATTTTAATAGAACTCTAATGTCCATGGAAATAAATGTCATTATTACAGGATAACTTTCAGATCAATTGTAAAAAAATAATTTAAAATATGTACATTATAGGATGTAGATCGATTACATATATAAAACCAATGGTAATTGAATGTTGAAAAGTTTAATTAATAATGATTAATTGTAGAACATTTATTATGACATATATTACATTTTTGTTCTAATAGAAAAATTAGTAGTAAATAGTAATTTACTGTAAACATTAGGTTTATCAACAAAATTTGTGTTCCACGATTTCCTATTACCAAAAACATCTGAACTTATATATGTAAAAAAAATATTATTTTACTTCACTTTCTCGAAAATTCCTAAGTTTTAACACTTGTTCTACATTTTTGCACGTTTTTCTCAACTGAAGGACGTGTTAAGATTTATTTATGGCCTATATAGAGAGTTTTTCTTGTGAAACAAAACGGAAAGAAAAACGTTGGTTTTAGGTTTTCATGCGTGAGTAAATTGATCATCATACCAGGGGTTGGTAAATAATATTGGTAGAGAATACGTCATTTTTATTTTGATATTTACTGAAATGTCTCAAAATTACTGACTAGCCTCATCGAAAAAAAAAAATACGAATCATATTGCATATGCCTATCCCCTATCTTAATGGAATTTCATACAAAATGGCCATATGTAAAAAAACTTAAGTTACTAAATTCAGTCATGGTGATGTCAGTTTTTAGTGTCCCTTGATCATCTAGCGGTAACGTTCAGAATAAGAATTGTAATTCATAATTCTTTGACATGACAACTATAAAAATAAATGTTTCATCCCCCTGTATCATTTTCTACGTAAATGTGTGTCTTCAACCCTTACCTGCACTTGTATGGTGGTGCTTTCGAAAGCGTTGAATAGTAAAGGAAGCATTTCAGCACGTATATCATCTCTTGGAGTCTTCTCCAGGATGACGTGAAGATATTCCAATAAAGTTACCGTCGCCTGTATCGACTTGGGAGCTGTAAACATTGATCTGGAAAAATTCAAGGAAAATTTGACATTAAAATGCGGAAAAGTTGTAGTTTAAGATATACTGAATAGTTGCTTATTCTATGTGTGCGGAAACTGAGAAATAAATAAGCAAGCTTGAAAATATATACTGAACATGAGTAAAATTGACACACGAACTGATATTGATCGATGGAAAGTAGAAAATTTTATTCCAGTATTGAAGCTCTATAACAAAACAAACCATGGCCTTATACTTGAAGACTAATAATCTTCAAAAATGATGCGGGGTAACTACATTTCAAAGTAGCAAATAAATAAAGTAATCTTATTACTATTTTACCTAAATGTGGGCAAAATGTAGGTTTCATATTCCTCAACTGAACTTTCTTGCACCAAAAGTAGAACCGGTTGCAAAACAGCTGCTAAGACTTCTGCAGTTTTCATTTCGGCCTGAAGGCAGGGCCAAACATGTTGCCACCATAATTTCTGAAATTAAAAATGTTGGATGTTTTAAAATCATTACTGTATTATTCCTATATTTTTGGAGAAGCTTATAGAGTGCTAGGTTGGATTTTAAGATGAGAGAGTTAGGACAGATATATGAATCATCGGGTTACTTACTTTATGAGTATAATGAATTCAATTAATGAATAACTGATGAAAACTCAATAAGAACGATTTTAGAATGCTTAATTTGTATTGTATGATTCTTTTAAACGCGTGTTATTGCAATTATCCTTTAATTTTCCCTAAATTCCCAAAAAAATTGGTTATGTATTGGATGCATACATATGCCCAATTTGGACTATTTTCATAATAAACTGAAAACGAAAATAATCTTGGATGTAATGTTCAATCAATCTTGGATCATTTGTTGTCAATTTTGAATCTTGGATCATTTGTTGTCAATTTTGAAATTTATCTCATTAGTTCTTAATATTGGATTCATTGGGGTCAATCTAGGAAGCATTATAATCAATCTGGAAATCATTGTAGTCAATCTAGGATTGGTTGTGGTTATGGTCAAACTAGGATTGGTTGTGGTCTATCTAGGATTGGTTGTGGGCAATCCAGGAACCCTATCAATATAGGATTGATAGGGTTCAATCTATGATTGACTCCGATCAATCTATGATTGTCTGTAGTCAATCTATGATTTTATGGTCAATCCAGGTTTGATTGTGGTCAATGCAGGATTCATTGTGGTCAATCTAAAATTGATTGAAGTCAATCCTTGATTCTTTGTGGTCCATCTAGGATTCATTGTGGATTATCTAGAAATCAATGTGGCAAATCTAGGATTTATTGTGGCGAATATAGAATTTATTGTCGTCAATCCAGGATCATTGTGGTCAATCAAGGATTGATTTTGGTCAATCTAGGATACATTGTGGTCAATGCAGGCTTCATCGTGGTCAATCCAGGGTTGATGGTGGTCAATCTAGGATTTTTTGTGATCAAACTAGAATTTATTATGGTCCATCTAGGACTGATTGCGGTCGATTTGGGATTGATTGTTGCAAAATCTGGGTTATATTAAATAAATAGGCTCATTCTAGGATATATTGGGCTCATTTTAGGATATATTGGGCTTATTCAAGGATATATTGGGCCCATTCTATGATACATTGGGCTCATTCTAGGATATATTGGGCTCATTCTAGGATATATTGGGCTCATTCTAGTATATATTGGGCTCATTCTAGTATATATTGGGCTCATTCTAGGATATATTTGGCTCATTCTAGGATATATTTGGCTCATTCTAGGATATATTGGGTTCTTTATAGGATATATTGGGCTCTTTATAGGATTTGTTGTGGTCATTCTTGGATCCATTATGGTCAATCTAGGGTTTAATCTGTCCTATTTTGGACGTATTTTAGGCAATATTCATTGTTCTGTTTATTCCTATGATTCTTCATCAATTTTTGTTTTATGGTCAATCTTAGTTACATGTTTTTTGGTCAACCGTAACTATCACTTCAAATATTCTTAGAATATTTTGTTATCCATTTGCTATCCAACTATGGGCTTCATATACCATGTGTAAATTATACATTTAAATTGAAATATAAATAAACTAATAATATTTTATCACTAACCCATTTACAGGTATGAAGGAAATATACACATTTCAAATTTAGGTTTTTTGCACCACTGTTGCAATCCATGTCGTATTTTCTGTGAAGTTTTTATCCATAAATGTTTTCGTTTATCATTGCTATACGATTGCTTGTCGATTTAATTATTCATACGTTTGTGAATGTTTTTCGTGTCGACAACTCATAAATGCCTACAACTTTCATCTGGTATTAATATCGCGATTTTACGATAAAATCTGTGACAGGAACACCTTTTTATGTATTATAGATATATAAGGCCTTGTGAAACAATGGTTAAAACTAGAATAAAGAATTCAGTAATAAATAAAAATTGTATAAAAGAATAGCTAACAAATATAATTGCGAAATCCTTTTAAATATTTTTTGCTTGATAGACACACTATTGAAATTTATAATTTATATATGTAAAAGGGCAACTGAATTTTTTTTTTGTGTGATGTAAATAAATTAAAAGTTTATTATTCGATGTGGGCTTTGATCAGGGAATTCTAAGAAAAGTTTTGTTACTTTTCTGGCTTTTATGCATATTTGAGTATTTCGATTGACAGTTCTATTTTTAGATTAAATTCCATTTTCAAAGTTGATAATAAAATGCTTGAATTTATTAAAAAATACTGTAATTTACGTTAAACATTTTGTGTTAAATTTATCTAAATATACTACAAGTATACTGAAATTGTGGAAAATACATTATAAAACTTGACAATGAATTTCCAAACTTTTTTTTCTCATTTAGAAAAATAAAAACACAACTGGGAACGTGTCTTAAAAATTTGAAACCATCTCTGAAAAAACTGCTATATCTAAAATCAATATCTTAGCAATTCCTGAAATGTTTGAAGGTACTTTTTATAGTGAAAAAAAAAAATGCTGCTGATACTAAGTTTTATCGGCTTATATAGAATATAAACTATATTATAATATAATAATTAAATTTAAATAAATTAAATCCTTTTTTAGATAAAGGATTTAAAAATGCCACTTTTTATTTTAAATTAAACTAAAAGCCTCTCTCGTAATTATCATGTTCTATTCACAACTCTGTATATTTTACATCGTAAAAAACTTTCAGGCTGTTTTTTTATTGTTTGAACATACACTGTTAGCATTTTCATTTTGTTTGGTTCACAATAGCTCTTTTACTCGAACAGAATGTATTTGTGAAAATACGAAAATGCGATTTTCACGTTTTATTCGTCACAATGATCGACGATATTTTGAGAAAATGTGGAGAAGAAAAATTATAATGCAGAGCGTGTTCGAAATCGTTTTTCATACTATGTGATTTCCATAATTTTATATCGACACCTTTGTCAGAAAAGGATATGATATATAGCTTTGTATCTACCGGTATATCAAATATTTATACACATATATTTGTATATTAGTTCAATCTTATTAGAATAATTTCAACAAGTTTCTTACTAATAAATGTTATATCATAAACTTAAATATTATATTATGATGAAAAATGAGTGAAAAAACTAAATTTTATCTTAAAAATGGACATACTTATGTTCGGGTCCAAATTGAAACTGTATTTGAAATTATTTGCGATTCTGTTACATCTAGTTATCTAGATAATAATTGCGTACGTTTCTTTCATGATTGATTGTTAAACTGCAATAGATGCATCATCGAGAGAAATATCCCAAATTCGAAAACCAACTATCAAAATTTGTATAGAAAATTTGCCAGTTATTGCTTAAATATAGAAAAATATTTGATATTTTTTCAAATTTTATTTTATCTGTTCCTTTTTATTCCATAAGGGGCAAACACATAAAAAAATTTTATTTAGTCTCATTCATTACATTACATTACATTAATAAGGAATTGAAAGCTGCATTATTTACCCATCAGATTTAGTAGGATTTTATGAAGATTTTAATAAAAATAGTACGGATGATTATAAATGCAATTTTATTCAACTCTACATTCTAAAACCAAATATTTTTAATAAATTAAATCATTTAAGTAAATACAGTATACTTTTTATCTTTAAAAAATGATATAGTACAATAGAAACATTTTAAATTTTTTGCATGTCTTTGTTTTAGAGGCGTTTGAACATTTTGGCATACCGCAAAAAAATGGATGTGTGTATGTGTGTGTGTGTATGTATGTGTGTGTGTATGTGTGGAGACAATTTTTCGTCGATGATTTCGGGCGTACGGATTAACCGATTTGAATGGTTAAAAAAAACATTCGATTCCTATTGATGAGGAGACGTGCTGATTAGTTTTTGACAAAAGCAGGTACAGTTGCTTTGGAGATATGGAGCAAAAAGTGCTAAAAATGTCAGTTTTTAAGAGAATGGATCAACCGATTTGAATGATCCAAAAAACATTCAATTTGTAATGATTGGGAGAAGAGGTGATTAGTTTTTAGCAAAAGCAGGTCAAGCCATTTCGAAAATACAGAGCTAAATGTACAAAAAAGTGCAGTTTTTGTAAGAACTAAGCATCCGATTTGAATGATTCAAAAGACTTCCTGCTTGTGTTGACAAAACTATTGCTTTTGGAATAAAAATTTCTCATTTCAAAATTACCTTTTTTTCTATTTTTTTTATTTTTAATTTTTTTTCCAATTTTTTTTTATTTCCAAATTTTTTTTCCAAATTTTTTAGTATATCGAAAATAATTCAGATTTTATTTCTGGCTAAAGTTTTAAAGCTCACTTATATACATTATATAATTCTTAGAAATATTAGACGATATTACAGTATTTATCTTATTTGAAATCATTTAATATTTTTCGAACATTTAAATGCTGCCAAAAACAGTAAGTTTACTTAAACTATTGATTTTAAATAATAAAAGTACACAAAATTTATGTTACCAAGTATTTTTCTAGTACCTCCAAGCCTGTCTATTTTTTCCGAAAACGTGACTACTTCCCATAACCTCTCAATGATCCTAAATTATCGCGATCTTTGCGATCTTTACTACTTGAATAGACGTGCACGTACTTTTTTAAGAGTTTCCCATGTCATATATATTTCTATTTGTAGACCTCGACGCTTTTTGCTCGTTTTCCATCGCGGAAAAAGTTCACATTATTTATTTCGCGAGTTTTTCCGGAGTCAATAGAACAAAAGTTACATCGCTCGCCGGAAAATGTATACGTTCGAATGCGTAATATATATATTTGGGAGGTTGAAAAAATGAAAAAGCGTTCGTTTGTTGATTTATTCATATGTTTGCATGCGAGTTTTTCTATGTATAAATTTGTGAAATATTTAGACGTGTATTTGCATTTATGAAGTTTTGAATTGCTTCTCTTGATGAGAGATATTTTCAGTGATATATCGCATACAAAAGCTTATAGGTTTTTTAATAGCTTACTATTTTGAGCACATTTGTACCATTATTTAATGAGAATAGTTTTTATACTATTTCAATACAGTCAATTATTCTGTTAATGAGGTCCGCATAAGGAACATTTTAATAAATTGTACGTATTATATAAAATTGCTCTTTCTTTTTTAAATCCCTTTTATAAAATTGGTCTTTCTTTTTTAAATCCCTTTTATAAAATTGGTCTTCCTTTTTTAACTCTCTTTTATAATATTGGTCTTCCTTTTTTTAACTCTCTTTTATGAAATTGGTCTTCCTTTTTCAAATCCCTTTTATGAAATTGGTCTTCTTTTTTAAATCCCTTTTATAAAATTGGTCTTTCTTTTTTAAATCCCTTTTATAAAATTGGTTTTCCTTTGATTTAAATCCAACGTTTTACTCATTTTACTATTTATGCTCATATTTGTATTTTTTTAAAATTATTTAGTGTAATGTAAAATTTATCAATAATTAATATTCTAATACTGTTTAACAAATTCAATTTTAAGTGTCCGCATAAGGATAAAAGTATATTAGTAAATATTAATCTAAATTGTGTTGAGTTTTGGTATGATTTGAAAAGTTGAAGTTAGTCCTAATTATAATTATAAGATAATCCTAATAAAATTTAAAATTATATTTATTATAATAAATTAGTACTAAGATAATTCCTTTATTTTACTAATATTTATATGATATAGATATGGTAAATTTATACTATTATAACTTAGATTATAATATATGAGTGAAATTAATATTTTTTTTGTGAATTTATACTTATTTTTTATAAATAGGAGTAATAGTAAAATTAATTTTGAAAATAGTAAATTCTTTGAATTAGTCAAAAAGCACACGTAGAATATTTGCATTTTTTAAACATTTTTGAATAACTTATAATATTTATTAATTTATTTTTAATCTTTTAGTTTAATTGTTTTTCAAAAACCTTTTTGTAAATTTTCTACTTTTTAATATCAAACTATAATAATTAGTAGCATATAACAATTTATACTTGCAAAATTTAAGTACTCACATTAATATTTTATTAGCAAATTTTTTAATTAATTCAATGTTGATTATTTTTATAGTTTAATATAATTTCTATATTTGAAAAAAAAATTGCACCAGTTGAAAAATAGGAGTCGCTAGGACAAAAATCTGATTTCATGACTCATCAAGTTGACCTTGGATAGAGGTTTTAGATGCCGACAATTCGTAGGCACGGCATTAGTAAGAACAAGTTGTAACGAATAACTCATAATGCTATTTTAGATTTCCATATTTTAATTATTTTAAATTATAGTACACACTGATGATTAGACAAACGTAGTCTCGAAACGTTTGTGAAATTAATATTATTTAATAAATTAGTGCAAAAAAGAGTGCTGTTTGTTCATATTTCTAAATTAGTATTTGTATCTGTAAATGTATATGTATATATATATATATATATATATATATATATATATATATATAATACAAATTTGTATATTCATCGTAATATCCACTTTGTACACACCCAAGTATGTAGATTTCATTTATTTTCGTATCTAATCAAAAAGCAAAATACGTAAGAAAAAATAATTTTGACTTTCTTAATACTCACCCTCGGTATATAAGGCAGCACATCCTTGAGTGTTGATCTGTAGAAATGAGTTTTTTGTGTGGGATCCTTCATGTTGATTACGTCTAAGAATTGCAAAGCGTGCACGGCCGGATCACTGTGGGATAAAATATACACAGGTGGATTATTCTGAATTAGAAAGTCGTCAAATAATTTATTTATAGGTGAAATAACGTTTTTCGTAGGCGAGGATTCAAAATTTCTCTCACTTATGACGTAGGTGTAAAAAATGATATAGTTGCCCAGTACCATCATTTTTTTTTTTTCAAAATTCAAGTGTACTATGTGCTTGTAAATACATGCCAAATTTACCATGATATTTCAAAATATAATAAATTTTTTAAGGATATATATCTTTCTCTTGATGGTTCTTTGTGATATTCAAAGTTACCCCCCCCCCCCCCTTCTTCTCCAAGCATCGCGTGTATTTTTAGTTACGAGACAAAATTGTAAAATGTCTGATTTTTTTGAAAATGTTCGGATTTGTTTAAAAAATCAGGTGATATATAAATAAATGCAATATCTAACTATATTCTCCCTTCATCACATGATATTTTTTATCAACACACAGTTTATTGTTCAATGTTGCTTTTTATTCAAAGACTCACTAATAAATATAATGACCAATGATAATTAAACGTCATTTCTTCAAAGATTTCGCTATATTTTCTCTATCAAATAAATTTTGTAACGTCGTTTATTTAAAAAAAACACCGATATTCGAATATTATCGCTTAACTCCAAACCGTATTTTTGTCGTATTGTGTATGAAATAGTTACTAACACAAGTTATTTTGTATAAAATAGTTACTAAATATATGAGACCACAAAAAACGATAAACGAATGTGGTTTTTCCTTAGAGAGCTCGTCATATTTTGGTTGTTTGTATCTTCATATATCTATAATAACTTTTATTTTATCATATAGTAATTTTTCACCTGTTCTGAAATAAACAAGTATAACAAGAAGGAAAATAATGACTTCAAAAATATAAAATATTTTAATGATTGTTAGAGTCTTTGAAAATCTGCCCTTAATTCTACCATATCTTAGTATGTACATTTATCGTTTTTTATAAAAAATTTCCATTATTTTTAATATCATATATTTGTTAATTCCAGAATAATATAATTCATTATGTAATTTAAATGATTGTCTTTGATAAATTCGATAGGCATGCAATTTGTTGTTATATTTTTGAATTTCCTTATAATAGACACCTAATTTTTATAACTTGATTATTTTAATGTAACATAAATTTCTTTTCAATCTTGCCCTGGCACCGTAGTTCTCTGACAAGCGAATTTGGATGATCTTCAAGACAACTTTTGTAATTGTTTTAATGTGTTTGTATTTCATTGTTTATTATGTTAATATATTCAATATTAACCAATGCGATACACACCTTAGAGCATTCAATTTTTTTTTAAATAATTTATTTTGTCACCTGTCAATTTTTATCATGTTTGATTTAGAAGCTGATCCTTATTTATTTTATGTTCATAAAAAAGCCGTATTTTTATCAAATTACGAAGAAACGATGCGACCAATGATTGCCAAAAATTAGTCATTTCCAAAATAATTGCAGATTAAATAGTGATTCCAAAATGTTATCTTTTATCATATTGTTAAGTGATATCTTTCATCACTATGTAAAATTTTTCCAAATAGGTTCAGAATAGTTCACCAAAACACGAACAAAAACTTTTTTTTTAACACTTGCATTTATTCTATCGAGAGACATTATCAAATTTTTGGTAAGTACTACCAATCTCTAAATCGAATCCAGTGATTGGTCGTCAGAGTATGATGGCTATGAACAAAAAAATTGGCACAATCATTTTTTTTATTTAATGCGTAATATTTTTGGCATTATTATGTATCTATATCGGTGTGTATGTGTAACTATGTATATATATATAAGATCATTATTGGATTCTCTCACAAGCGAGATACCTCGTAGTAAATGTAAATGAGAGTCAAGCAAGTGCTTTGGCAAGTTTCAGGAAGCTGAATTGTTGAAGTAACTTCGTTAAGACAATGCACGAGACCACTTTATACACTAAAGCACTTACAGTATTTGATACTTAGCGGACAAGAAGGTTTTACATAAACTATTGCACACTGCAAGTTTTCAAAATATCAAAACTTGAGAGATAGTTTTTTTGTTAAGAACAACGAAATATTTAATAAGCTTTTATGATATTGCATGAGATATGAAATGCCTGATACCAGGTGGTCCGTAACGTCGTTCATCTATTATCTTGATATACTAAATATATTATATTGAATTGACAAGACAGCTGATAAATTCAAGTTGGCTATTTAGGGAGTTTGGATCTATATTTTTTAGCAAAAATATATATTGATACTGCCTTATATCAGGTTGTCCATAACATCTTTTTATTCTCACCTAGATATATTGAATATAACATTTTAAAATGTCAAAAGAGCTTTATATGGTCTATTTAGGAGTCTGGATTTGTTGATGTTATTGCTTGAAAATATATTAGATCTATATTTTCCAGCAAAAATGGATATTGTTACTGCCTGATATCAGGTTGTTCATAGCGGATTTGTGTTATTTAGATATATTGGATATATTATCATAAACTGTCGAAGCAGCTGATAACTTCAAATGGGCTATTTAGAAGTTTGGTTTTGTTGCTAATTTCACTAAAAAATATTTTGGATCTATTTTTTCAGTGGAAATGGATCTCAACTATCTGATATCAGGTTGTCCGTAACGTATATTTATTCTCATGTTGATAAATTGGATATCGGATAAAAGTGTCAATTGTCGAAGAAGCTGGTAACTCTATGTGGACTATTAAGGAGTAATAAGGATTTAATGATATTGTCACTTGGAAATATTTTGCATGTAAATCGCTGCTGTCTGATACCAGATCGTCCGTAACTTCTAGCTATTGTCTCGATATGTTAAATATATTAGATTTTAACTACTTTAAGTGGGCTATTTAGAAGGCTGATTTTGTTGCTATGATCACTTAAAAATATTCCGGATTCATATTTTTCAGCAAAAATGAATTTTTCTACTGCCTGAAATCAGGTTGCCTGTAATATCTATTTTTATTTTAATATATTCAATATATTATAATAAAATGTCGAAACAGCTAATAACTTCAAGAGGCCTATTTAGGAGTCTGAATTTTTTGCTATTATCCCTTAAAAACATTTTGAATATTAGGCAGTAGCAGTATCAGGTTGTACGTAACGTGTATCTATTCTCATATTAATATATTGAATATATTATAATAAATTGTCAAAACAGCTAATAACTTCAGAGGTACTAATTGGAAGTCAGGATTTTTTGCTATTATTACTTGAAAACATTTTGGATCTACATTTTCCAGCAAAAATGGATATTGCTACTGTCTGACATCATGTTGTCAGTAACGTCTGTCTATTCTCATCTTGATATATTGAATATTTTATCTCAAATTGTTGAAGCAGCTGATAACTTCAAGTGATTCTGATTTTTTTTCAGTGAAAATGAATATTGCCACTGCCTGAGATCAGGTCGCCCATAACTGATTCGTATTATTATTTTGACATCTTGGATGTGTAAAATATATTCATTGAATTGTGAAAACAGCTGATTTTTCTAAAGGTTCTATTTAGGAATATGGACTTGATGTCGAAAAATTTTATTTATTTATTGAATTTAAAAAATCTCATTTCATTTATAAATTTACAAATTATTAATAGCAATAACATTTTTATCTCTGAGATTATTATTATTACCAACGTATACCTTTTCGCAATAAAGACAACATGATATGATTATCATCTGTCGTTTTGTTTTGATAGAACGAATTTAGCGTTTTATTGTCCAATATGGTTTTATTATTTTACGAAAATAGAATTCCTTTAGGAGAATTTCATTGTCTGTACGTTTATCGTAACAGATTTCACGTGACTTTAGTACATAATTTAATCGAACATAAACTGCTTTTAGGTTGGAAATTCAGTTTGTACACTAGGGTAGACATAGATAACAGACAGAAGGCTGATGTAGGATAGAAATAATAAAATAGCTAATTTTATTTTATATATATATATATATATATATATATATATATAATAGCAATAAGAAATTAACAATGTGGCTTCACAAATGGCTTCGCCATTAATATTTATGTAATACTGTAAATTGATTGATGTATTCATGCCAAGATATGGCTATTTTCATTTGAAAATACTATCAAAATTTTTTCAAGGACAATTTTATTGCTGTTAGATGTAAGGCTGTCCGAGGCGGGTATCGAACTTGGAATCTATTCCTTATAGTCTATAGAAATGGATGTCATAAATTTGAAACTACTTGCTATAGTAATAATGACATCTAAAACTCTGTAAAAAATCTATATTTCTTTCTGAATTAAATTTTTATTAAGAGTTTGTTGTATTTATTATTTTATATGCTTTCTTATAATTATTATCACTGCTGCAATAGTTTTTATTACAATTTCACTTAATCAATATAAACAATTGTATTTATTTTCTCATTAGTCATCATAAGTCTGTAAAAATTTGTATATTAATTCCTTAAGATCGTTGTATATACTTTTATGAATAATTTAAAAAACCTAGTGTAAGTGGCATTTTGATTTAGGATAAGTTACATTATCTTCCCGATGTGTGTAATAATCGACTTTATGGACCCAAATTGAGATTTAACTATTTGGATAAAATATTTAAACTTTTTTTTCAAAAATCCACTTGATGCTTTTACAAAGAAATAATTAATGAAAAATGTCAAAAAAAAAATTAAATTTTGACTTATCACATCACTAAAACGACTATTGGACACGAATTTCGTTTCACCAAATTTTTTTAAATTTTTATTATTTATTTCAAAATTAAACCAATTGTCCTAGGACCATAATATTTTACTATATTTAGTAAGACCATAATATATCTATGACAAACAAATTCATTAAAATTGTCAAAAAAAAAAAAAAAATTTAATTAAAAATCAAGTTTTTGCTTGCACTAACAACTAATTAATTAAAAATGAAAATTAAATTTTGACTAATTACATCACATAAACGACTATAGGATACATTTTGAATAATCACATTTTTTCAAATTTCAATTTTTTTTTAATTACACCAATTGTCGTAAGGCCGTAATATTTTAGTATTTTTAGTATGATCTCTATCAAAAACAAATCCATTAATAACGCCACGGCTAATTTTATCAAAAACTAATCAGCGCGATTTTCCTCCAATATCTTGCGAACAGTGTTTGAATTTTTAAAATCGATTTAGGAGTGCAGGGTAAAACGTAAACAAAAAAAATAAATTTTTTTGCTAATTATGAAGAAACAGCTTCGCCTTCAGTAATGTCTTATAAATTAATTATGAGTCTTTTACATGTCTATTTTCCCCCAGCTCTCCGTCTATTTGTTATTCGCGGTTGTGGATGAACTAGGGTAGGTTCAGGAGTTTATTGGGTTTGGCAAGATTTCACATCTCATCCTTTCTCGTGGTGGTTAACGGGAGGTTTGAGGGCGGTTTGTGGGCGGTTTTCCGATGTTAATGTTATCGAATCGGACGGATTTAAAATGCTTTTGTGCTCGGGTTATTTGTACGTAATCGCCCGGGAAATTCTCATATGAAAGCGAAATACTTAACCTGTTGCTAAAGGTGTAGGCTGAAGGTATCGTGAAATACCTGAGGTGTTAGAGATTATATAGATAGATTTAAAGGTTGCGTCGAAATTAATAATGAAGGAATAAAGGAATGAGGGTTAATTCAATCACTTTCTATAAATACTTGTGCTCAAAATATTTTTTCTTTGTTTGAAATTCAGTTTTAAAAAAAATCATCAAATATGAAATGAATCTATATGATCATAGTTATAATGAATTATAACTATTATAATGTTAATTATAATATCAAAAATAATATACTTGTTAATAATATCTACTAATCTCTAAAAATATTTTTTTGCTAAATATTTCAGCTTTGTGTCACAAATTAGTTTTGTTTACTTTTTTGGTTTGCTAAGTAAAATGAAATCTTATACTCTAAATATAATGCTCATAATATTACAATATGCAAAATAATTACTACTCTATGTGATTGATATTTGAGAAATTGTTTAATGTTTGTAAGCAAAAATATTCAAACGCATTATTTTGCATTAACATTTCATTAATGACTAAATTTAAATCATTTTCGATTAAAGAAAAAAGATAGTTCCTATCAAGAAAATGTTATGTGTAGTAAATACAAAAATTCAACCTAAAATTCTAATAAGCAAAAGGAATGATTTATAAAGTTTGTGTTTCTTTCATCATATTTATTAAATCTATATTCTTTTAAATTTTTAAATATATCAGCTAATTTTAAACAAACTTTTGTGCAATACATAAACAATGTATAAGTTTTGGAAATATGCTAATTAAAATAAAAAACTAGTGGGGCGTATGGCATCGTGTCTTAAGGCAAATTGCTGAAACTTTCCGTACCAAAAATTATTATTTTTTTAAAAACGATTAACATTTTTGAAAAAAAATTACTTAAAAAAATAGATCTTTGAGAAACTATAAATTTGACAAAAATTGAAATTGAAATTGAAATTTTGAATTTTTTTTCGAATCAATCGTACTGCTTTAACTGCATAGAGACAAAATGTCAAAGCGCGTAAGCGCCGCGTCGCCGTCTAATGGATAAACATTGGTACGGAACCCATAGGAATGCAAAAAAAAATTATACTGACTGTTAAAATCTCTATAAAATATCTCATAATTTGATGTGCATATGTCTAATGATCATTTTTGACCGCCAAATAGAATTTTCTTTTTACTTTTTGCATTAGATCACATTTTTTTAATTATTAAAATTGGACGCTCCGTCTCTTAAAAACTGAGTTACCATTTTTGGCACTTTTTGCTCCGTATTTTCGGAACGGTTAGACCTGCCTTTGCCAAAAGCTAATCAGCACGTCTCCTTATCAATACGAATCGAATGTTTTTTTAATTATACAAATCGGTTGATCGGTGTTTCCGAAATCGTCGACGATAATTGGTGTCCGCACACAAACACACGCACACACACATACATCCATTTTTTCGAAGTATGCCAAAATACTCAAAAACCTTTGAAACGTGAAGATATATAAAAATTTTCATTTTCGATTTGTTTGCGTTTACTATAACTTGCCCTACGGGAAGCTAAATAGTCGAAATAACCCCACTTATAGAATATAGAGGACAAAAAAATCATTTTCACTTTTTCGTGCACTAACAAATAATTATTTAACAGTACTTGTTATAAATCATATGGTCCAAACATTTGTGAATTTGAGCCACATCATTTTTTTTCGTTATCTTGCACGTTTACTACGATATGAAGGGACCACTTTCCATTCATTACGTGAGCGAATTTTTAAGGATTTTTAGACCACCTCCCTTTGGTGATACATGGTGATATTCAAAATTACCTCCCCCTCCCCCTACAAACAGCACGTGTATTTTTAGTTACGTGAAAAACTGTAAAAATTTTATTTTTTTTTGAAAATGTTTAGATTTTTTTTTAAAAAAAAAATAGTTAAAAAAATAAATACATGTGATATCTTACTATAGCCCTCCCTCCCCCACGTGATATATTGTGATTTTTTGTCCAACCCCCCTCCTCCCTAAAAACCTCACATGATTAATGGATGCCTTCTTTATTGATAGTTTATACTATAAATTTTACCCCATAATGAACTACTAAAATACACCTCAAATTTACCTAACCAAATAATATATGTCTACAAAGCAGCAAAGTGAAGTAAAACAAAGTGTTATTAATTAACATGAAGCATTTTCAAAATACCTGAAATATTTGATGAGCGAAAGGAGCTGCGCCGTGGGCCTCGCCCTTGCGTCGCGGCTCACAAGCCTTGAGGCGGCCTCTTGTAGGGGTATAGGGATGCGGGGAAGCATGTTATGGACGGCATCGTCCAGCTGAAAAAAAAAAACATTTTGATATATAATTTTTATTTCATATCTTAATATAATCCTATAATTATATAAATCGTATGACTCTTAATTCAATCACGTGGCGAGCATAGCTCACTGGTAGCGTGTTAGATTCACACGACAGGGATCTTCGGATCAAATTTTGACTGACTTAAAATATAGGAAAAAAATATGTATAGTTATATTGAAATCAAATAAAAATTGTGTTGTTAAGTATAATAAAAAAATAAGAAAAATAGGAATAATAGAATTCGAATAGCTGAATTGTATTAGAAGTAAGAAGAGAAATATTGAACCGAGCTGAAATTAAAAAAAGAATGAAGAAAAAATGGAATGAAGCTAGAAGTTAAATAGAATTAAAAATTCGAAACAGAGCAAGAATTGAAGAAATTAAGAAGAATAATAAGAATATAGAACAGGATTGAAAATGATATAAAAATTAAAATGTAAATAAATAGAAATGTTGTAGGTGGCTAAATGCTCAGAGTAAGCGAGGCCAAATAAAAAAATAATAAAAAAAAATAGTTCTATCTCTATAAACTTAAATTGTTCCTACTACTCGATTCAAACGCCTAAGGCTTAAAGGGATATTCTAGTCCAAAAAATTTTAAGGAATGGATTATTTTTTGGATACTTTCAAAGTTTAACTAGTCAAAAATATGAATAAAAAAGATTTTTTTAGATATTAAATTATTTTCGGAGATATAGTTGTTCGACCACAATAATCCTTTTGATTTCTTCCTTAGCAAAACTTTAAATACTGTAGACTCAATGTTCATTAAAAAGTCAATTAATTATATTACTTACGAACAATCTATTACTTTGAAGAACCAGATATAATTTGCTGTTAAAATTGCTGTATCACACCTAATATAAGTTAATTGAAAAAGTGAGTAAGTTTAGTATACTATATATAGTAGCAGTATAGTAGTAGTAGAGTAGTATATAGAGTTTAGTATAGATAGTATTTATTTGGTAACTGATGTAAATGATTCAACTGATACGTACAGAATGATTAAATTTCTTATAACTAGCTAGCTTAGTACCTATACTAGGCTAGAAGAATTATTTTATTGAAGACAGGTAGAAAAAGATAGATGTATGAAATTTATGAGGTTCGAACAAATACGTTCATCTTAAAACATGTCATCCTCAAATTCCTAAACTATTTTTAGAAAATTCGAGAATATCGACAATCGCTATTTTGTTAACAAAAATCTTTACAGCAGTTTATACAATTGCAAAATTAATCTAGATTAATATCTATTTAACTAATTTTTGTTTCTTCAATTTAAATCATTTGGAGGGTTAAAATCTTGTGTAGCAATTTATTTGAGATCACATGCCTTATCAATACCTAGAATATGAACTTTATAACTATCTCTTAATTTTCACATTTTTGTAACCTTTTGTAATTACTTTCTATATATAATTTCTTGGTATAATTTCTATCTTTGATTCCCGAACTACAATTTCAGCATGTCTGTATTTCATACTTTTGTATTATTTATGCAATATTACCGTACATTTTGCCAGTAATTAAAAATCTGTATTCAAAAGCATAAACTACGTAAATAATATTTCATATTTATATTTCAATGCAAATAATTTTATGTCATGAATAAATCCATTGCAGTGTTTAAATAAACAAATGTAGTTGTCATGCACAAATAATAATTTTTAATATTTGCACTAACTTGGTTATTGAGATTTATTACGTTCATTTTATTGCAATAATATTGAATTGAATTTAAAAAATGGGAAATATGAATATTATGCAATAGTAAATATTAGACAATTACTAGAAAACTAGCAATAGGGCAATATTAATTAAAGGTTAAAATATAAAATCACATTCGAATAATATTTTGAGTTTAATACGAATATGCAAAAATCCAGAATATTGAGAATTAAACTAAGGAAATTATATATCTGATAATCCAGGACATTTAACAAATAATTGCGATATGAAAAAATTATTATTATGTGAATAAAATTTGAATAAACTTTGGAATTCTATATTCGATATAAAATCCAGCATTTAATTTGGAGAACTTAGACATAAAATAATTCTGTTTCCACCTAAAAGATTTGTAATAGTTTTTTATATGATAAAATGTTTAAAACTAATTTTCTAAATAAATGCTCGAAATACAATATTTATTTAAAGCGACTTTTAAAAATAAATTTTCTCTTCAGAGTTATTTAACCTTTATCGTTTACGAAACTGAAAGCCCGGATGAGTAATTTTATTAACGCGTTGTTAAAAGGACTTGAAATTGGGTTGTTTGTACAGAATAAATTTGTATAATTGTAGAAAAAGGGGAAAAGTCTATTTATTTAAGAGTACATTTGATAACGCAAAATATTTAACATTTTTGTAATGATAAATAAAATTTACACACATTTCTGATAATCAGGCGAAATAAAGTATTAGTATACAATTTTCCAGACTAAGTAACTATGACTAATAGATTCAATAAGTAATTAGTTTTTATATAATATTGTGCTATTAATAAATTTTCCATTAAAATCGTTATTATATTTTCTTCACAAGATTTCCTATATGCTTGTAAAAACAAAACAAATGAAAATTCTCGAAGCTCGTTGTGGTTTCTCCTTGGCATGAAGTAAAAACGAACGAACGGTTAAAGGAAAATCCTGGAAAATTAAACCGCTATTCTCACTTTGGGAAAATCTCGTAACTGGATTAATGATTTTTTTATATTGGTGTATGTTTTTGTAATCCGACATCGTTTGGTGAAGTCTTAACGTGTCCGCTTGAGGTTTTTCGAATAATTACTTGTTTTACATTTTGATATATTCAAATTTGAATAGATACCTGAAAGTAATAAACACTGAAAGTGTTTATACAAAATATTTTTGTATATTTGTTACATACTTTTTATTATTATACGCCTTCGTTATTACGTATAATCGATATTTTCTTGTTAACAAGAAATGCCATAATTATGTTATTCTTTAATTCGTTTTTGAAGTTCTGCTTAATTTGTCGTAGAGTTATACATTTTGTCATAGTTCTATATGTATTGCATGTGTTGTTTTACAATTGTGTATATATTTTATATCAATAGGTGTCATACATTCATTTTTTTATACCTCGATTTTAATTTTTAATTTTTTATATTTATATTTTCATCGTTTTTCTTTCTCTATTTTTATTTATTTACTTCATTATTTTTATCAAATTGTCTTTTTTCTTTTAGCGTTCATTTTTATAATTTATTTGCATTATTTGCAATTTTTTCTTTTAACTCATTTTTCTATATATAAATTTACTCAGCTTCCTTCTTAAGAGTTTTTCATCTTCTCTTTTTCAGTTTTTTTTTTATTTTGTTTTACTTGCACTCTCTTATTCTGAAGTATTTTATCAAATTTTTAATATGCTAGTTTATTCTTTAAATTTTTGTGTTTTTTGATTTGCTTTTTTGAATTTATTGCTTTCTTAATTTTTACTTATTTTTTTTAATTATTATTTTCACTTATTTAAATAATTAAATTTTTCATTCTTTCTTATTTTTTATAATTTTTAGTTATAACATTTGTTAGTTTTTATTAATTTTTTTATAATCATAGTTTATCAAATTATTTTTTCATAAATTTTACATTACTTTCATTTTTCATTATTTTTACTTATTGTCATTATTTTTACGTATTTTCATTTTTTACTTGCAAATTTTTATTTTCATCTTCCATTACAGATTTTCATTTTCATCTTTTCTTACAGATTTTCATTTTCATCTTTTCTTACAGATTTTCATTTTTATTCAAGAATGCTAATTTTTGCTCACATACATTCCGTAAACTTTTATTTTTCATGTTCCCTTATATTTTTCGATTTTTCGATCAATCATCGAAATAAATTTTGATCAATTATTTGATTATATTTTTCAGTTTTGCTTAAATTTTTTCATTTTTGCTTAAATTTTTTAATTTCACCTATATTCTTTCATTTTTGCGTAAGATATTTTTATTTTCGCTCATATTCTTTCATTTTCGCTTACATCTTCCGCTTATATATTCTTTCATACTTGCTTATATTTCTTACATTTAGGTACTTTTTATATTTGTAACTTCAATACCCCTTTCTCTCCTTTATAATTTAGTATTTTACATATTTTATATATTTTCTTAAAATATTTAAGTATTATATCTAAATATTCATAAATTCATCTTATTTTTCACATTGATAAGTTTTAATATTTATAATTTATTTTATAATTATATAATTTTCAATATTTTGTTTTTTTTTTGTATTTTCCCAAAATTCTGAAAATTTAATTACCTGAATATTCATAAATTCGTCTTATTTTTTTCCATTTTGAATTGTCATTTTTAATATTTTGTTTTTTTTTTTGGTATTTTCCCCACAATTTTACCTAATTCAACACGATTTTTGTTATTTGCGTATATGTATACAATTATGTTTTTTTGAAATAATAAGTATATTCTATATTATCCTTTAAAATTAAAAAAAAATTATTATTTGTGTTTGCATTTTTTTAACGACCTGTGGGGTTAGTTACAGTAATCGCAAAAAATCGAAAAATAAAATATTTATATATCTCGACGTTTTAAAGTTTCTAAACATACCTGCCTTCTTTTGGCATACTTTAAAAAAAATTGATATAATGGTATTTGTGTGTGTATGTATTTGCGGATACAATTTTGTCCACGATTTCGAGAACACGGATCAACTGATTTAAATGATTCAAAAAAACATGCAATTTCTATTGATAAGAAGTCGTGCTTATTAGTTTTTGGCAAAGGCGGGTTCACTCATTTCAAAGATATAGGGCACAAAGTGCCAAAAATTTTATTTTCCTTTTGCAATGCCATGTACTTTAGTAGTGTAAGGTCTAATGTACCACTAATTTCGAATATAGTTAGTTACATGTGTTGATGTAAATAACATATGGATGGAATAACAAAAGGATATGTGTGAGTAGATTATATATTATGAGAGACAAATATTGACTGAACAGTGATGAATATTCTAGAGAGTGCAATTAGAGACAATAAACGAGTAATTGACAGACGAAAGTATTTACTGCTATAATTGAGCATACATTTTACATTATTTTTTATACATATCTGTCTACTCGTTGATACTATATAATCTTAATATATATAAGCAATATTGATTGTGTATTATATACAATATGTTTGTATTCATGTACTAAAAAAGGAAAAATAAACTTTCTCCAAAATAATACAACTTTTCTATATATTTTGTTACCTCCCCTTAAGAGAGAGGAGTCACATAAACAATATGCTTCTAAAGGAGTAGTTAGATATGAAGTGTGTTAATAAAGACAACAAAGTCCATCCAAAACATTGACTATCTCCAAAAAATTATTGCATTTTTTACAAAACCAGAATATGGTTCTGTAAATTAAACATCGTTAAATCTCGTCATCGCATTGTAGTGTGTTTTCCTCACATCGTAGTGGCACTAAATTCGCAATCTCTATTCGAATGGAAGTAGAGCGACATTTCCCGTTTCCGGACAGGTCGGATCCGGTAGACGTCGCCTTGCAACATCCGATTGCGGCGCAGACGGCGAGATAAATGGCGCTCTTCCACGATATTAATATAATATGAAACTTAAGATGAGTTTTAGTTGAGCTCTTTTGTTTGCAAATTGATAATAATATTTTATACGTAACGCTATTTACAAGATCTATGGGTATGGGTACACTATTTTAATAAAATTCTGAACGCTCGAGGCGCGTAAGATGATGTTCGGTGGTAGTAAATTCTGCAACATCATAGTATTTAAAATCTGTCGTCTGGATTTCATATTTCATTTATTTATTAACTTCCGGAAGGAGAAGTTTTTATCAGAAAATCCGATTCGCTGATTTTATGTTTTCTCGACGTTTCGAGCCATTCTGAATCGAATGACTAAATTTGGTAAAACTATGTGTGTGTGTGTAAACACATTTTTTGCCGTAAATCGAAGTTTTCTTGAAATTTGCGACGATCGGCCGAGTCGTTTCCTTGTCATTTGAAAAAAGTGTTAAACTTTTCGACCACATTTAAGCTCATACTATCTGATCGATTTTAAAAAATAAAAAACTGTTCGAAAGACATTGGTTGGAAATGATACTGATTAGTTTTACTCTACCGATTTCTTGTTATTAACTGTTGAAAAAAAAATTAAGCCGATTTTTGTGGAACTTTTTTTGGCGATATATATCATGGTCTTATAGAACTTACTGAAATATTACGGTCTTACAAGGAGTTTAATTTTAAAATTTTATCAAATTTTAAGGAAATGAGTAGTTTATTTGACGTTTGTTAAAATTAAATTTAGACAATTTACTTGGTATAACGATAGAGTACTTTGTTAATGAACATACGAAACCATTAAAATCTTACGGAAACTGGTTCAATTATAAAAATTATTGATTTTTGAAAATTTGCTTTTAGAAAATACTCCGAGTTAACGTGTTCCTTCGTTTTCAATTATGTGTAATAAATCCACTCGGAATACTTTTAATCACTCATAAATCAATTTATTTTTTATTGATTAAGTCGATTCTTTACACATATCGGGAAGTTCTTGTAACTTGCCTCAAGGCAAAATACCAACACCAACTAGTTATTTAGGTTAGCGCTTTTTTGGTCTAGATGGTTTCAATTGAATTTTCAGGTCGGCTGAAGTAACCTAAATACCTTTTGTTGATGGATAGTAGACATGTTAGTTATTCATCAATGTACAAGAGGTTTTTTATCCTTTGCGTAAATTTTGTATGCTGTTCATTGAAAGGTGAATAACCAAATCAATATTTCTATTATATTTTGCATTTTTATTTCTTCAAAGGTAAAAAGCATCAGCTCACGAAAAGCCATAGTGACCACAATGAGCTATGGCGACCAAGCTTTAAAGAAAAGTCAAAAGCGTTAAAATTAGTTTACCAAATTTTGTTTTGGTGAAAGATGAAAAACTCTGGTCATCCAGTTGATTTAAAAAAAATGTCTATTTTGAACTGTTACGACTAATCAAATGATCAATTCTGATGTCTACATTAAACAACCAACTGTATTAAATAATGCAATTGAAAGGAGCGACCTAGGTTGACAAATCGAAATGGTGATTTATTCTATTATTGACACCACATATTTTTGGCCACTCTGCAGAAATTACTGGAGCTTGGTTTGGGGATGTTTTGCTATATTCACCTTATAGTTCTAACCTTGCACCTTCTGATTAGGTTTTATTTCGATCCTTAAAAAACTCTTCGAACGGTAAATCGTTCAATGGTGATGATCAAATTGTGTGAGTCAAATTATACCCGAGTTTTTTGCAAATAAATACAAGAAATTGCATAAAAGTGAGATAATGATGCTGATTGATATTATGTATCTGTATTTTTCATTAATATATTCATATAATGTTACTTACCACTTCTAATTGTTTTAAATAAGCAGAATTTGAATTATTTGCTTGGATGAGAGATCTTCCAGAGTTGAAAATCGCACATATTACCATTCCTAAGGAGTACATGTCACTTAATATACTGCACGTTTGTTCTGTTTGCATTTCTGGAGCTGAAATAAAAAAACAATATTAAATTTAATAAATAAATCAATCAGTGGATATTTTGTTATCTATATCATTTATAAAAAAAATTGGTATCATTTTTTTTATTAAATACTAAAATGTTGATTGAAGAACTTGCTGATTTTTTGTCTAAAAAATAGAACTAAAATTTATTTTTTTTAGGATTTTTAGTCATTTACAAAATTGGTTTTTAATAGTGAATTTGTGAAAAATGTGAAAGTAAAATGTCATGTTATTACGAGATTTTATACCTTGATATTTTGTTAAAATTTACAGCTAATACTGAGTTATATAGGTATAAACACGTGTTCAAGCACGTACTACAAAATTTATTATCTTTTTAGGTATATTTTTTATAAATTATAAAAATTATAACTCGTTAAATTTTTATCTCGTACATTTGTCTTTTCTACATAAATTTATTCGAGAAAAGCTGTTGAAATTCAAATTGCGAATTAAATATTCCAAGACATGACTCTTGTCGAATGGATTATATTACTCATATAACAGAAGAGCATTCAGAACATTCTGAACATTCAGAATTATTAAATAAAGATTCACGTTTGACACATAACACATTTGCATGCTATATAGGGCAAAAGTAATCGAATTTTGTGTAATTTGATTTATATTTGTATGAGAAATTTATTACACACTTGTATAAAATACATACATACTCATAAGCATAAATATTCATATTCTTCCTACTTTTTAATTACATTTTGTAATTAAAATAAAAATGTGAATTAAATCTGAATTCGCAACTTATTACATTCTTATTTCCCTGATAACTTTGCCGGTAATTATAAATTTTCTTTTACGACTCACTTTTCACAATTTTCAGAAATTCATGACTAAGAAATGGCTAATTAAGGAAAAGAGAAATTTATTACGAGCATTAAATGAGGATTGCTTAAATTATTAATGAATGCTCTCTTGTACACACGGTTTTATGTAGATTTAGTTGGTTTACACAAATTTATCTTCAGAGTTAACTGATTTAATAATTATTTATTAATTAGTTTATAATAAAACTTTACAATAAACATTTTTCAAAATTTTTAATTTAAATGCTACGCCACAGAATTTGCTAATACACTTTTATGTAAAATCTATTTATTTTTAAATGAGTGAAATTTAAAAAAAATATTTCTTCCTATTAAGATTTTATAGTCATCTAAATTTAGACTTATTTTCAACTGCCATTTAGATTTATATATATCTCCACAAGACATTTGAAAGGAAAATGTGCTTTTGATAATTTCCACAAAGTATTCATCTTATATAATCTTCTTGAAATAGTTAGAATCATAAATGTCGTAATTGCTCTCCAGAATAATCTATTATTTACTTTGTCTCTAAATGAAATTCATTAGAAGAAACTTCAATGTGAATTCGCAGTTGCTGTGTTATTTTAGGAAAATATGAATATTTTGCTATTGCATGGGAAATTATATTCATTTCAGCATTTTCTTCTAAGGTAATCTTTTGATAATAATATTTTTTTACAAAATAAATTTCTACCAAAATATAGGGTTAATTATAGAATTCTTTCAAAAATCGAAAATTAAAATTTTTGCAAACTCTACGTTTCAAAGGTTTCTGAAGATTTTTGCATACCTTAGAAAAAGTACATTTATGTATGTATGTATGTATATATGCATGTATGTGTATGCTTGTGCGGATACAATTTTGTATCCACGATTTTGGGAGCACGGATCAACCGATTAGAATTATTCAAAAAAACATTCGATTCCTATTGATACGTAGACGTGCTGATTACAAAGCCATATGCCACTAGTTTAATTTTCTAAGTTTGCAAAATTTAATTATTCTATTTCAAGCGCCGTTCCGCATAATTATAATTCACAGAAAAATATTTGGAATATTTATATTTTATTTACAACATAGATCCTGTTTTTCAATAAAATTATATCCGTACATTTTTGTATTATCAGAATACCTGTGCACACAATTTCTAAAAATAACACAAATCGTATACTTTCTCCTTGTGAAAAAGGGCAAATAAGCAAAATATATTTTTTTCCGATTACGAATTTTGCGAGGCGTAAATTTTATTCGAATAATTGGAAAAGTATTACAGTCCCTTGAGGGCCTGTTTACAACAACTTGGGAGTTGCTTAATAAATGAACATCTTCTTTGTATATTGTGAAAAATGTAATTCTTTGAAATACTTTCTTAAAAGAAAACTGTGTTTGGAAAAAATCTTCAAAACTAATGTTTTATCTTAGCTTAATAATTAATGTAATTAAGAGTTCTGGCAGTATGCTCTGATATTAAGAGTTCCAGATAGTTCTCTCAAAACTCCTGCAAATGTTTTAATGATTTCAAATCTATGACATGCTATATAGGGCAAAAGTAATCGAATTTTGTGCAATTTGATCTATATTTGCATGAAAAATTTATTACATACTTGTATAAAGAACATACATACTCATAAGCATTTTATAAACACCTATACATCAAGTTTAATTCAGACGGTGTTCGGACGTCTTTTCGTTTTATTAGATTGGCCATGAAGGTGACAAACATCAGGGCATTAAGCTTTACGCGGAATGTTTGCTACCCCTGGTAGAGGGGGTAGCGGAGTGTTTTAATTGAACTAGATGTTCACTTCTAAAAGTAAAGTCCGCTTAACAACGTGTATAATAAATAATGAATGATAAATATACCTTCTTTTGTTATAACTTAGTGACAAATCAGTGATTATAATAAGAACTGCAACAAATACATAATATACAGCTAATCAGTGTTTAATACAGTCCAGAGTTACAAGGGTTAAATTATAACCCAACAACCTGAATTATCGAAGGAGAGTTTTAATAAATTCTATAACTACGTAACATAAAGAACAGACGTGAAACTTAATTTGTGCATAAAATTTTATTAAAAATGAATAAATATGAATGTATGATATTATATACATTTATATTTTCATAGGTACGAAGAGATAAATTATCACAATTAATGTTAAAAAAAAAGATTTAAATATCATAGCATAGATATTTTATTTTTGAGCGACATTGAGATTAACAAATATAAAATACTATAATTATTAATTCAGAATTCGCTAATTTTTAATCCGATTAAATATGATAGCATTGATAAAATAAGTTGATTAAATGAAATTGATAAAGCAAATAGTATATTAAAAATTCAACTTTCACAATTATTTGAACTAATGTGCAAGTTAAGTTAGCATAAGCTTTTCATATCGCTTTCCAATTAATTTTGCGTGTCTGTTCCGAAATTGCCAGTTAATTCGCGAGAATGGCAAAGTAGGAATTTCTACGGCGCCTAATTAGAAGATAATGCTCTTATAGATAAAATTTATGTTGCAATCCTATGGAGAATATGGCCAGAACTTGTGTCTGCCAACTTGTTAATCGCACCCGGGAAATAACTATTTTCAAAACCTAAGTAATTGCCTTGGGAAAGCACACTTATACCGAAAAGCTCAAATTAAATGAGCTTTTGCTATTGCGATGGAGAGTTTTTAATTAATTAGAAACGTTTGATCTCATTGTAATGCTGTAAGTTTTGATCAGTGGGATATATTTTTATAGTAGACGTTCAGAGATAGTAGAAATAAAAATCTATTATTGATTCGTAATAGTATTTTCTTTATTGACTTTTAACGTTAATGACTTGTTATTTACATAAACGTTTTTTGATTACTATTTTTAATATTTTTGGTTACTGTTTTTATATTCAATAAGCTACTTATTGTTTTTCATTAGTACGATTTGATTTTTTTAATCAAATACTAAATCAATTATCAGATTTTATTGCGTTGTTTTCTAATTTTTAGTAGTTGAATTGTTAGTAAATTCATAAGTAGAATATAATATTTAATCCATTTTGGTATTCAATTAATTAAAAATGTTCGATCTCATTGTAAATGGAAAGGAAAATTTTTTATTGTATACCATGAAAGGCAGTAAAAATATAATCCAATATTAATTCGTGATAGTATTTACTTTATTGATTTATTATATTAATAAAGTTACAGTTTCTTCATAAGCGTTCTCAATTAAAATTAATTGATATTTTTTATGATTAAAAAGGTTAAATAACTTATTCATTAGTACGATTTGATTTTTTGTTGAAACAGAACTTATTATTTATTTTTAAAGCGTTCTTTATTAATTTACTTAGTTAACCCTATATTAATTGATAGTATATTTTGAAATTGAATTTCAACAGTTTGAATAATTTTAAAAATTTTAGCAATTTGAAGTACTTTCAACCAGTTTCTGTATCAAGTTGTTTTAGTCTTGATAGGTTTTCTTGATTTCTTTAAAAATCTTTAGCCTTTTCTATTGAAGATATGATGATCATGAACTTTGAAATTAAAAAAAAACAATATTTATTATAAGAATATACTTACCAATATAATCTAATTGTGGTTGTGTCATTTTTGATAAACGTGACGTCCAAGCTTGACATGGAACTGGCTCTACTCCATCTGTTTCGTTAACTCGATCTGAAAAAATATTAAATAATTAATATATTAACAAAATACATAAATTAATTTACTAACTGAAATACAATCAAACTTCAACAAATATTAGACGCGTCTCAATTATATTTATTTAGACAAATATAAATGCAGTTAGAGTTTAGCCATCAAAATTTTGTATGTAAAATTTCTTTAGGCGCGACTAGGGTATAAATCTGTAAGAATGCAACGGAAAAGCGTTACGTTTGAGTCGTGTGCCAATGATTCATCATTTGCTCTCGATGATATCATTTCTACACGGGTCGATTGTGATTGGTCGTCGTGTCGCGTGAGAGTGTTCTTTGATTGTTTGCGTAAAAAAAATAAAAGAAATGAAAAATCTGTGCCGTGTAAGAAACGTAAGTTTGTTGAAATAATTTGTATTATTCGTTTTTACTATATATTTTTTGAAATTATTTTCATGGGCAAGACACATACTACAGCTGCTCAAAGAACGAGACTGTATCGCCAGCGAAATAGTCAAGAAAACAAACAGTAAATAAATGTATGTTAATTTTAATTACATGAAGTTCTTTAAACACAATTACTTGATAAGTAAAAGAACTGTTTTCATTCAAATGTCAAAGCTTACAATTTCATTTTACTGATCCTGAACGTAAAGTATTACAAAGTTGCATATTTTTATTGTTGTTCTTCAATAAGTAAAGTGCACAAAAATTGAATAGGCGTGATTTTTTTCATAAAGCATACCACTTATCGTCATAGAATATTTTTCCAACAAATTCCAGTCTGTCAATTCCGACAAATATTATGAGAATACTTGTATTTTTTTTATTCATATTTGAATTTAAATATACGTTTTGACGATTAATCATAAGACTTATTATACTATAATATACTTATTATTAAATTGGGTCAATTTTTTTTATTTCGAGCCTTACCAGTAAAATCTAGGCCCCCAAGTTTCCACGTTCCTTTTTTTGTGACTAAAATAGAAGCTGGACAAACATTTCGATGTATCACATGACCGGAATAATGTAGAAAGGATAGTGCTTCTGTTATCTGAAAAAAAAGATAGCAAATTTTATATTATTATTACGCCAAAGTATTTTAATTTTTTAATAGCATACATGTCATTATATAAAAGAATCTTCTAATATAACTTCATGTTTTCATTGCTATTAATTTTTGGGTTTCGATGCTCTAAGTCTCAGTTGTTAAAACCATTTGTTTTAATTACTTAATTTACCTGTATTTAACATATGTTTTTTTTAGTTAAGAACAACATTTTTTTATAACTTTGTGACCAAAAATGTGTTTGTATCATTTTATAAATTTCGAAATTTTTTACTGGATGGTATCTCATTAATTTTATTCTGATGACACATTTAGAGCCGAATCGTATACAAATATAAAGTTAGTCAAAATTTTAGGTTTAAAGTATATATATATATATATATATACATATTTATTTATTTATAATCTATATTTAACCCATGACACGAGACAACTTCTGTCCGGAATAGCGAATAAATCCGCATTTTTCCCAATTTTTATTTCCGCGTTTAAAATCCGGATTACCCACATTGCCCGGAGGCGTGCTATATGTCGAATCGATACAATTTGTATGGATTCAGTATAAAATGTACAAAAATTGTGACACGGTTTAAAATCCGAATTGATTTGCATGGAATTGTATGTCGTTTATTACTTTTTATTAATATTCAAAACCGACGAACAATTGCTGAATGGACGCGATGAATTATTGTTTTTAGTAGGCAATTTATTTAGGTAAATAATAATATGATAGGTTTGATATTAATGATACTATATGTCAAATGCACTTTTGTAATAGATAAAAATAAATAAATATACAGAAAACCTTCGTTTTCATTGAAGATAATATTTTGTCATTTCGTTCTGTAGACTTAGATAAATATAATCTTGATAGCATGAAATATTATATATATATATATATATATATTAATTATAAATATATATATATATATATATATATATTATAATATCAAAGCGTTTCATCGAAAAATAAGAAAAACATGCAACCTTTGAATCAACATGATATGCTTGTATAAATATTGATGTACGTAAATTGCCCAATATTCCGAGATATGTTTTTAAATCAAAATACAAGTAGAAAGTCTAATGGATATAAATTTTCCTATTATAAAAACGATATTTTCCTATTATAAACATCCATCAAAAAGTTTTGTTTAATATTTAAGTATTTACAAATAGAATACTCTTTAGGATAAATTAAAAAATGTATACAATTCAGTATTGATATTGAATACTTCATTATTACATGACGATAATCAAATTATTTATAATTAAAATAACAGAACAACTGAGAAAAATATTTACCACATAACTATATTTTTAGTCTTGATTAACAAAAATAAATTATAACAAAAAAAAGAATTATATTTTTGAAAGTATACAAATGATATACTTTTTTTTTAAATTTTGCATTAATGTAATGTCTTGTCTATATCTTGATCATTTATTTAATGCAGCAAATAATGATGTGTTCAACAAGCCATAAATAGAATTTTATAACAAACATCTTTACGAAGGATCCTATTTTCCAAACAAATAATAATGGAATTGCCTCGTAGTCAACACGTGGGTTGATTCTTCTACATTTGTACGGTGGAGAGCTTTATTCCTACTCGAGATATAAATATCTATTAATGAATATATTTATATATATATATATATATATATATATTAAATTCTCGAATGATATTACACTGATTTTTATGAAATTGTATGATCGTACATCATCTATTTTTTATAGTCTAAGTGACAAGGATTGCCTACCGTCAATTTTTTTTTTCATTCTTGGACCATTATTTTTTGTTTTATTTGTTTATATGACAAAATAAAAAGTACATAGCCATAAATCTTCACCCTCTCACCACAAAATCTTATTTCGCAATAGTTATTTCAGTAATGCAATAATTTTTTAAATCTCTCTATTGACTACAACAATAAATGTTTTCCACTGAATTTTGATTTGGATTTTTTTAACGAAAATCCAAAATTTTACGTCAAACAACAATTTAATTTTATCACGGGTTGTCCAAAAATATTATTTTTAAATTTTGGAATTAATTTTCTTTATTATGAATGTTTTTAATGCGTAATTCAAACAAATTTCATTTTTACTTATAAATATAAATGTAGTACATATAAATGTGTACTACATTTAGTACTCTAAAGTACTTTTTAGTAGTCTCTAAAAAAACTTTAGAGATATTTACATACCTAAACAATATTTACTATTATTCTAAGAATTTTTTGAGCTACTTTTTGTAGCTGAATAATATTTACTATCATACTAAAATTTTCTTTAGCTATTTTTTATTGCTAAACAATATTTACTATAACGTAGCTTTCCTAGCTAGCTACTATCTTTCCTAGCTATTGGAAAGCAAAAATAAAATTTAAAAACTAAAACAATTGAGATTGAAAAATTATAAAAAGTAAAAAGTGCTTACAATTCGGTAATCTTAGTGATAATAACAAAAAATGCCAAAACGTATGGTATGAGGATAGTAGTGTATACTACTCTATTTAATTCAAACACTTGTGGTTATAGCAATATTTTACAATTATTCTAAAATGAAATTATTACTAAAAAGTAAGCGTGCAATATATGCGTTATGTCAACTCCAGTTGATTTAAGTCAACAATTTTTCTGATGAAGATTTAAATAACTTAGTTATAATTTATAAGTCATTATTTATAAGAAAATAGTTAAGTTTATATTATCATTAAAATATTGTTGATATTATTAATAACGAATGAAAAAATAGCTATTAAGTTGTTTTTCTAACATGTCAGTATAGCATACAATATCTCGCTGACAATCGTAAATTCCACAAATATACTAAATGGTCTTAACTGGACAGTTGTAAATATAGTAGTGAACAAAAAAATATTGTTTTATCGTTATAAACGTAAAGAGAAAATGAAAAATCACATCTACACAAACTAAAAATAAATTCCATTCGATCACTTCGACAAAAACATTTACAATTCGGACAAAACAGTATCAGAAGCAAAAGAATAGAAATTAGGGCGCCGCCTAACCGTCTCCCGGCCTTCATTACGAGAGAAAGTCAAGGGAAACTGAACATCACTCGGGTTTCGCCTCTTCCGGCAATTACAATTAGTATTTAATTAAAAGTCAGCTTATTGGTATTTTATTTGAACGTGACATTACTGAGAAGCCGTATTATACAAAAATAAATTCATATACACGCCCACGTTTAAGAAAAACATTAGAAGAAGAAATTCAACCTTGGGGTATTTTAAATTAAAACATAATTTGGTGTCTACAAAATTGAGCTTCAGGAATATGAAAATTAGATTGGTGTTTTTATTTGTTGAGTGTTCTTGTTTTATCGTAAAATTATGATCATTAACACGCGTTTGTGGAAGTGAATGCTGAAAACTTAGACATTTTTTTATTTTTTTTATCGAAAGCATTGAAAATTCTTGATAATGTTAGATACCTATGACGGTATTCACTTTATAAGTTCAGTGGTTATGGACTATTAATTCACACAAATCTATTATTTCAGCAGCCTCTATTTCCCTATTTCAATCATCTAAGTATATATATTCCATCATAATTGACAATCAAATACAACATAATCCATTTACAATTATATTTCGCGAAGGTGTGCCTGCTCCCGCGTTCATTAATGCAAAGTAAACAGGCAAAGTTTGATGTGTTTAATTATCGAACCGAGAAATCACAGCTTATTTTGATTTCCAACAAGCCTCGTTTTCTGTTTGCATTACACGAAAATCATAATTAGTTTTTGGAAGATCGCTTGACAAAATCCCTCAAAACGCTTGGAAATTTGTCAATTTTGTGGAAAAGTTTTGGAAGAATTCAAATCTGCAAAGTATCAATCAAACTTATGCAAGAATAAAGAGTAATCTATTATTATTATTACTGATATTAATATTGAAACTAGTGGTGCATGGCATCGTCCCTTAAGGCAATTTGCTAGAACTTTCGGTAACGTAAATTAAATTTTTTAAAAGATCAGGAAAGAACAAAATAGATTTTTTGACAACTTTGATTTTATTTTTACGTTTTTGAAAACATTAGAAAATTTTGAATAATCCATAAAATGAAAAAAAAAGTCTTTTTAAAATATACTGATAGACTTTGAATAATTTTTTGTTTGTTTTTTTTGGAAAATTTGGAACTCATGAAAATTTTAGTAACCTATTTATGTCGGTCCATATTATCAAAAATATCTGATTTTCGACCTTTATTTGCCTTTGCAAAATAATTTTTTATTCTTTATTACAAGTGTAATGTTTTCTGCATCATTCAAATCAGATCGTTCTATCAAAAACTCGATTTCCATTTTCTGCACATTTTGGTCCGTGTCTCCGAAACGGCTGTACCAACCATTGCCAAAAACTAATCAACGCGTCTCCTTATCAATAGGAATCGAATGCTTTTTGAATAATTCAAAACGTCGATAAAAATTGTATCCACACATACATACATACATCCATTTTTTCTAAGATATGACAAAATGTTCAGAAACCTCTAAAACGTAACGTTTTTTGACAATTACAATAACTTACTTTACGAGAGGTTAATAATATTCTTGTTATCTTTTGTTGGAGTAAAAATTATTTAGGCATTTGCATTATTAAAAAAGAAAAATAGCATCAAGACAAGGATTGTGTCAAAAGAAACAACTAGAAGCAACATTTACTATACCAATAAATTAAAAAAAATATATATTAATGATACATCAAATATATGAACTTCTGTAAAAGAAAAATAATCAAAATATTCCATGAAAAAACCAATAAATTACTTTCTGAACAACCACACCATAAATACACATATAATCTTCAGGAATAAATAAGTTTTCTACTAAAATCACCAATTACAAACTAGACTTAAAAAATGTTGTTATAAATCTTGTAACCCTGTTAAATTTAATTATTCCCCAACATCTTTGGCATTAAGAATTTCATATATTTTGCAAACAAATTAT